GCTCTCTGTAATTCATCAGTAGAGTGACTATAACAGCAAGACAACAGTATTATCTTTGTCACCTATTCAAATGATGTGGTTTTTTTTCAACCAATATGATCGATTTTCTTAGAACGATTCAGGTTGTGGTACAAAAAAGCTGGACTATTTCTCATAATTTTACATATAATGGCACATAAAAGTTTCAGCTGTTTTAATCATGTTGTTAATGGTAAAAAAAAAAAACACTGAGAATTATTCGAAGCACAATCAATAAGAAAAAAGAAGACACTCTTTCTAACTTCACTACAGAGTGTAAAATAGAATTATTCCTTTCTTGATAACGATCTCCAGGGGGTAAATTCTTAATATTATGGTATCTTTATTCATGACAGTAAACATGCTGTTTCATTTACACCAGGCAATGTTCCATCTACAGCTCAGCAGCCACTTCCTCTGCAATCCATAACGCAAGCTGCAATTTTCTGGACCAAATCACAGAGAAACTCTGGCTGTGTGACTGCGATCCAGCTCCTCCAAGTCACGTCCAGGTATTCATTAAAACTCACAGAGCCGCCATCAATCTAGTTTTCCCCTCATTTCCAGGCTCTAACAGATGTGAAATGCTCGTTTTGAGGACCACGTCTGACCACGGAGGGTCAGCAACAGTGGTCAGGTTCCTGCACAGCTGAAGGAGACCTTTCTGTGGATAGAGCAGACGAGTGAGGGGCCAAAATGATGGAGGAGGAAAAGAGAGGGATGACACTCTAAAAATAAAGACTCGCTACTCGTATATCTCTTGCTGTGTGTGTATAAACTGACACGGTCAGGTTATGGGAACAATTCGTCCTTTGAGAGTCTCATCAGCAACAATTCGAACATTATGGGAACAGGTTTGGTTTAGGGTCAAAGGTGGGCTGTGGTTAGGGGAAGGATGAAGTGAACGTATGTGGTTACATCTTGAATAGTGGAGATATTTTTTCATCAAGTGACGTATTGCATTGTTTCTGAACCTAGCATCGTATTGTGAGAAACTGATATTTTTAGCTCTGAATTGGTCTGTGGATCCCACAAATCCTGTGCTGGACAGATTTGTGGAGAATATGGAGGAAAAAGAAACTTATCGTTGGGTTCCACAAACCAGGTAAGTAACATACACAAACCTGACCATTAAAACTATGTAAAACACACCAATTCACGAGAGCAGACAACCTTTTTCCACTGTTCTGTCTTCCATCCCTGATACTAACATGCCCACTGAGGGAGCGGGCATTGGCCCCTGTTAGTGGGATCAGCTTTCTACCAAAAAACGGTGGGAATTCTTTGGGAAATTTCAGATTCTGGGACTTTTTCTTTTTGTGGACTGCAGAGTATGTGCTCGCTCTCATTCCCCACGTGTATCAATTAGCCTTGGCTGTCCGAGACTTTGCCGACGTCAGCACTTTTCCTCCCAAGTCCTGACCGCTGCAGACATGGACCGGCCCCAAAAAATCTGCAGCTATACGGCCATGCTGTGTTGTAACACGTGCACGTGTCGTGCGTCCGCGAGCGTGCACGTTGACGTATTGAAATGAATGAGGTTTGTGAGTCTGCCGCTGTTAGCGAGTGCTTCTGAATTCGACCCGTTTGACCACTACGTAAACTCACGCAGACAAAGCAGCACTTCAGCGGTGCAAACGTGACAGTGCAGTGACTCACAGCCTCTGATCTTCCATATAAACAGAAAAAAATTCAAATGCAGCTGCCAGGGAGAAAAAGCACAGAGGAAGAACAACAAACAGACAAATCCAGAAGCTTGTCATTGGCCTCTTTATGGCACTTAATTGGATGGATTCAATTTGGATTTGCTTTAGGATTTTGTTGGCACAATTTTCATTGTCTACTCTGATATGGAAGCCATATAAACTCCTACAAAATAATCCCAAAACTAAGTTGCTTTTTTTCTTTCTTTTTCGATTTTTTTTCGAATTTCGAGTTTTCCTGACACAGGAAGTTATGTACGAAAAATATTATATACTTTTCATGTACATGTACAGTGTGATTGTAACAACCCCTGTGCAAAATTTTAATCTTTTCAACCCCTTAAAAGTCCATAGAGCCTCAAGAGTCATATCAGGTAGCAAATGTGATACTGTTTCAAGGAGGTGGCCTGATCTATTTGCATTCCATCGATATTTCTAAAAAAAGGTTTAGTTTGGGTTTAAATAGCCAGCTGTGACAGATTTGCTTCATCAGTTTTTTTTTTTTTTTTTTTTTCTGGGTGTTTGAATTATTCAAAACACATGTCAACATTGACTGACAACAATGAACAAATTTGCAGAAGTAGGAAGAAAATCTGAAATACACTTTGTAAGTTAGAAATCCTGCATTCTGCTCTTAGAATTGGTAAGATTATAATTAAAATTAGTGATCACATTTTTACAAATATCCAAAAGCTTTCTCTTTTTTCAGAAAAATGGATTGGAAAAATAAATGGAAAATGACAAGAACTTAGAGAAAAAGTGCATCGTGTTTGTAACAGTTGTAGAAGTCATATATAGCTTACGCACAAATACACAAATATGAATGCCCTGTGGTGAAACGCATCCCATTTCTGCACAGACAGGTCATGAATCATGGGAAAGCGGAGGTCAGTGTGAGACAGGGCTCAGAATAAATGTATGGGGCTCCAACAGACGGAGAGCGCTACCCACATCTTGAAATCATAAATTCACAATCCACTCTGGTCCTTCTCAAAGAAAGTGGTGTCTACTCCTCTGTGATGGATGACGGTTTCAGCGAACGTCGGGAGCAGTTTTGAAATGACAGTAAAAAGGGCAATATTCTGCAAGTTATCCAGCTTCTATGTCAGAGTGGATGGGATCCAGCGCTATCCTCAATGCTAGTATAACCTGTGGCCTTTCGTTTGACATATGACCCTCTAATGGATAATCTCCAGAGAGATTTACACCCACACGGTGACAAGGCGGGAGATTACAAGGTGACAAGGAAATACCACTCCCATGCTGGGGTCGACATCATTCTGGCGGAGCTGTGCTTGTTTGTGCACACTACGTTTGGAGCAGCTTGTTCATGCTTGGCTAATTTTTTCCAATTTCAGGGTGTTGTTACATCTGATTCATGATTCGTGTGGAGGATTTGCTTTCACACACAACAAATCCGCTAACGCGCAGACTGCCTTTATGTCATGGCAAAGGCATTCTCGGGCAGGTCAGGTGGTTTTCATTATCTAACACTGTTACTTGGGTTCCACCACAACACAAATTGCCACTAAAAACTACTTCACACCTAAAACATGACTGACACAAAGCAGCGGGACCCAGAACGGTTGTTTTCTTTTTTTTTTTAGGATTTTCCCTGAAATTCTGAGCTCTTATGGGCTGATGTTGCAGACGTGAAGCGGTCGGGGTTTTTCCACAATAACAGGGTGTGGGTACTGGCCAGCTGTGGGTATTATTAGAATTTCACCTTATTATAATAGTCCTTTTTCCTGTTCTGTACTGAAATCTTAAACTGATATTTTATTATTAAGGTCATTAAATGATTTTGTGGAGTTTTAAAAATAATGGGGATCTTGGTTGCCTTCGGTTAGCGGTTCGCACTATGCGGGCTAAGCATAGGCACTGCTGTATCAGGTAAAACAGATTAACACAAGATGATTAGCTGCTGAACACCTGCTCAAACAAAGTTCCCCTAATCACACAGTCCTTGGCTTGTGCCCCGGGCGGTCAGTAATCCTGCTAGTTTTGGCGGCATTTACCTGGATATCCCAGAGCTTCTCGAATGGCAGTGCGGGCCAAATTGTGTTAAACACACAGGAGGAAATGAAGAGTGTGATTCTCACAGCACTACCTTCTCTGTCCAGATGAGAGGGGGATTAGGGAAAAAGGTAGATAATGATGTCTTTAATCCCAGCCCCCAGGTGATGAGGAAACTCCTCTGAGGTCTGAAAGGCGTTTACTTCACATTTTTGGACTTTTATTACGTTTAATGTTAGGGTAACTTCTCTGAACATTTTAGTTTGTTGGGTAAGACTCTTCTTACAAAAGGTCAAAGGGAAAAACAAAGTCTCTAGGGATAATTCACTGTCCACCAACTCTAGGAATACGACAAATAGAAGTCCATCCTGCAAAAAAAACACGGCTAATGTGAAATCCAACTCCTCGTGTACACCAGCGGGCTGAGAAAGCAACAACACCACAGAGGGTTCAAGGTTCAACTCGCACACATCTCAAAATGTATGTTTTCATGCAACGAGCAGTCTCACAAACACATACACACACACACACACACGTGTGGGCACGCACAAACAAAACATTTCAAAGCAGATGGCAGAAACTGTCCCAGTTTTAATGAGCTGACAGAATGCTGGCGTCTGGGGTCAGGAGGTCGTGTGTATGAAATGTCTGGGTGATTCGGTTCAAAGAGCACGAAGTATAAAGACTGATAAGAGCCGAACAAATGCACGTCAACGCGCGGCTCTCCATCACTCGGTCCAGCAGTATGCGCATGTGTATCTGTGCAGACTGTGGAGGAGAGAGCGTGAAAGTAGGAGAAGATGTTAAAAAAAATGTAATTCAGAGCATGACTGAGGCTGAGGAAGAACAGCAGTGATTGATGAGACACAATGAAAGATCTCACTCAAAACCAGATGGACAGAGCCATGCAAGATTTCCTTTAAAAGATGCATTCAAAGTTTTACAATGACATATCCGTCCAAATGGTTCCCCATGTATTCTTAAACAATTGTATCCACGCACACAGCTCCACGCTAGGCACCGACGAGGTCCAAAATTTCTCCTTGATTAATTTTCTAATAAAAAATTACGCCTTCAAGTTGTGGAAAAATCACAAGCAGAGGCAGAAAATTAAGGCCAGACATGTCGAGATCTAGGCAAAAACAACAGATAGCTGCTCAGGGAAACAAAGGGAATGCCCCTCGATCAACAGTGAACTGATCTGACACCAGCTGCTTCTCTGTTTGAGAAAGTTGCCAAACAAAAATAGATATAAAAAAAAAGTCACAGAGTCAAAACAGATTTCCAGTCCACATGTACACGCACAAAACCACGCACACACAAACAAAGAATAGCTGCTATGAACTGACCCATGGGCTCCAGCACAAAGTGGTCTTGAGTGACAGCCAGAGGGGGCTGGACACAGACGGACAGCTTCGGGGACTGCACCGCAGTGTTGGCCTTCACTTTTACCTGGAGAGAGGACAGAAATGATACGAGAAACAAGGAAAAATACAGCGAAGGGGGAGATAAACAGGGGAGTTTGAGACTCACCTGTATGGTCACTGAAGGAACAGGCAGACCATCGATATCTTGGATCACGGCCTGCTGTGGAGAAAGTTTAAGAGAGTGATTAGTCTGTGTGCGCGGTTGACGTGTGCAAATAAAGACAAAGAAAAGGTTGGGTTGTTTACCGATGGTTTGTCCATGCTGGAGGACACAGTAGCTGTGACAAACAGGTCCACAGCTTCAGTCATAGGCAGGATATCTGAAAAATGACATGTGCTTCCTTTAGAATGAACCTATGACATTCTTTAATCAATTGAAGATTCTATTTTCGAGGAACCGTTTTAAATGACTTTACACTTTAAGCCGTCTCCTACCTTCGGTCCTGGTGGCTTCTCTGATATACCTTTGCAGTTTCTTCATTTCAGCATCCACCTGTTCATAGTCTACTTCCCTGGCATCGACTTTAGGGGTGGAGAAGAAGGAGGGGTCTGTACCCATATATGAGCACAAAAGATGACCATCAGAGCTCAGACTGACCACAGCTCCCTTCAGCTCCCTGAGGACGAGAGAGAAGAGGATCAGCTCAGTATTTTAGATCTGTTACTAGCAAATTAAGTTAAAGTCTTGATTCGATTCATGTATCTGATCTGAAGCTTGGCATTGGTCAGAAGAGTGAATAAGGGTTGGCGTTAATGACTTTTAATAAGGAAATATGTAATAATAGGAGGGAAGATTTGAAGAAAATCTGAGTGATGCAATGACACTTTAAGAGTGTGGAAACTGGTTGCAGATGTGTGGTTGTGTGCGAGTGGTTTCTGATCCAGTCCAGAGAGGCAGCAACACATACATCCACACACAGGATGGGGTCAAGGCTGGGAGCAGCACGCTACACACCTGCACAGGAGGGTGTCTGAGGGGGTATAAAACTTTCGGTTTACAGCGGAAACACACACACATACACACACCACGATTAATTCACATCCAGAAGGACATGGAAATCTGCATCCACACAGCTACCAAACACACTCACTGAAATAAACCAAAATCCTAAAATTAATTCCCACTAGTCGCGAGTAAAGGTTCCCGAATGCACATCAGAAAAAGAGTTAAAAAAGTAGTTTTTTTTTTCAAGGCGATTAGCACTACATCCAGTGTGTTATACATTCGGTATGAGAAACTGCTCTCTGTATGAGACCACTTGGGTCAAATGGCTGATAGATTATCTCAGATAATGTTTCACAAACACAAACATATTTAGGAAAAGCTCTTGTTTTCCAGTGAATCTGTGTACTAAGCTTAACTTCAGATTTATTTAGAGAGCTAAATAATTGTCTAATGGAGTCATCCAGGGCTGGCAGAAGTGTGGAATAAAGTCTAAAGCTACAGCTAAAAATGACAGATATCCGCGGAAAGCTGTTTTTTTTTGTGTGTATGTGTGTTGCTCTCCAACACTCTGCAGCCTCCCACGGACACACTGAGCGACCCGATGGCTATCGAATGTTTAAGAACAACACAGTAAACCAAACAGCTACCCAGACACACTCTATCTCCTGCATCTAAACCACACATGCGCACAACGGAATCACAGACCACATCGTTTTTCAACTGTGTTTGTGTTTTGCGTTGTAATTGTATCAAATTGCAGTTTGATTGTAGCTGCTTTGGGGAAAAACGGGGGATTAGCTTGAGCTGGCCTCTCCTTGCTGCTGTGCTCTGATTGGCCCGCTGGAATACATTGTCCTTCAATTTCCTTTTAAATGTCTCCCACTGGATTTCACAAGCTGATAAAACTCAATACCTACAGTGAATATGACAAAACACTTTCTGCGAGGTGATTATATGATGAGATTATGTGGTTTTGACCGCATGCATTACTCCTACATCCCAGGTATGTTGCTTCGCTGGCTGTTTTTACTCACGGGAAGTTGGCAACTCGAACAGCCACAGGCACAAAAGAGAGCTGAGCTGCCCACTTCAGACACACATCCTGGTAAACCAGCAGCATGTTGGTGTGGTTACCTAGCAGCAGGTTTATGGTGCCGTCTGTCACTAAAAAGACAGAAAAAAAGGAGCTTAGAAAGAAACATTCAGAGGAGATGTGATTACTACATTGCAGGGAATGAAGAGGCATTTTAAAGCGAGAGTTGTGCAAGTTCTTAAGCTAATTAAATACATGCTTCCAATCTTTCCCCCACCAATATCACTTTGCTGTATTTATTCAGGTTTCTGTCTTGCGGCTTGAGTTTCAGCCTCCGCTCCATGGCAGGACAAATGTGAGGTTTCTGTCTCTCATTTTTAGTTATAGAAAACAGTGGCGCATATTCACAAATTTAACAACCATGCACAGAAATAACGAATTCCTGTGGTGGGTGGCACTGCCTTCTAAAAGGAGTGCAACTCGTGCTCTCCTGTGAAGAAAATTCATCTCTTTAAAATTCACATCTGGTTTGTATAAAGACATCATCTCCATCTCTCATTCTGAGACAAGGTGTGCTCCAACTGCTGCGCTGTAAATACAACTGCAGTCACAAATACGCTTTCTTTTCGCAAACCCAAGGCTAGAAACGTAAAACGTAAATACTACTTATGTCTCTCACTCTCACTCGGTCAGAAATGTCCAGTTGACCCACCAATGGAGCAGCTACCACCTAGAGAGATCTGAGGCCACCCGCAAAACAAGCGTGCCTCGCTCGTGCAGTGGAAGACACGAGTTGTAATGCAGGGACAGTGGTCAGCAGGGTGGCACTGCGCAGGGGTGTGTGTCGGTGCCACATCAAAGCAAACACACACCTTATATGTCAGCATCAACCTTGTAATTACGAGATGTCTAAAAATGGACTGATGTACCTTCTCCAGCCCGCCTTTCTTTGTCTTCTCCTCAGTATTTTATTCTTCTTTGTTTCCTTTAGACTGTTTTTCCTTTCAGCAGCTCCTAAGGATTTTTTCCTTTTTGTTTTTTGGACTTCCCCTTCGATCTAATGCTTCTGTCATCTGACATTTCCCATTTTTTTATTTTTTTGACCGTCTGCCCGCTTCGTCTTTCTCTGCCCTGTAACTCAAAGTTCGGGGGACGGTGAGATCGCTGAAATGGCCGTATTTTTCCATGATTAAGTCACTCCTATTTCTATGGCAATAATAATTGAGTCTTGAGTGATTCTATCGCTCTATGTTATGATTTATTTCCATAAATTGTTTTTTTGTCTTATTCGATTTAAACTGTTAACTGATTCAATTATATGAACTGCTCTAGAACTCACAAACTTGTCAAAATCTCCCCTTATGTGTTTAGATTTGGTGATTATCAAAGATGTAGCATGAGTGAGTCATGACAATTGTCTTTTAATAAATAAAAAATAATAAGTAAATTACCTGATTTAATCTGTCACCTGTTAAATCAAATTTTTTAGAAGTTGGAAGGATAATCGTAACATTTGATCATAGTTTACGCCGAGATTTCGAACCCTGATTGCGGATTTTTCAATAAGAAGTCGAGCCAAGAAAGTTCTAACAAAGGAAGGAACAAGGAACAAGCACACAGAGGGAACGGATATGTAAGGGCACTCGTCCAGCCGAGGCAGCTGTGAGCCCCCGGACCAGAGGGAACGCATTAGGAGCCCTGCAACGGATCAGGGCTGTCCGTGCTGCTCTGCACGACATTCTCAAATATGAGAAATCCATCAAATGAGCTGACACAATAAAAGAGCTGACGCGGAACATCGGGTGGCAGCTCGGAACTAGAGCGGCAGCCGCAGCGCCACTTCCCATCAGCCTGTTAACAATAAACACAGGGGTGGAATCGGTTTTGTTGAGAGCCCCGACTGCAGCTGCAGCTTCCTCCCGGGAGTCGTCTTCGAGCCAAGTGGGAATCCCTGTTCAGTTCTGGCTGTGGAGAGAACCCATGTCCCCATAAAAGCTGCTTTTGTTGGGCTGCTAAATCATAAATTGGATTTACTGATGATTTCCAAAAGCAGTTTTAAGTGATCTAAATAAAGTCTGGAAAGGAAATGTATATTCTACGCTGTCATCTCAACAATTTCTTCCATGATTTGTGCTGTTTTTAACTCTCTTTCTCTTTTTAAACATTCTTTTTCAATCTCTCACATCAATGCAATCAAAATGATTATCTTTTAGCAAAGTGGGTTCACAGTGTGATGTTGTGTAAACTGAACCAGACCGAAACACAGACCGTGCGTGTTTTTTGCTGTGAGGGACGCTCATAAAAACCATATTTATTGCTCCAAGCTCTGAGGGCTACACAAAGGCCTTTAATTTTACTATTTTTTAAAGCACCATTCTGGAGGTCCAGCATTGTGCCGATAATAACGTGCATTGTGAGAATCAGGCTGAAGTCTACGATTAAGGAAAAGAAGAAGCATTGTTTTCCACTTTCATCCAGCATTTCTCAAATTTGACATATGTTTCACAAATGCACAATAAAAATGTTCCCTTTATTGATCAGGAGGCCACACACAAAGTGCTGTTGTAAGGATTTCATCCCCCATTCATAAGAAACATAAAAAACATTAGGAACAGGTTAAACAAAACAATTCAAGGTTTTTTAAAGCGCTGAGCTTTTAGAACCCAACCACCTAACCAGATTCAAATGGATACAATTCCAGTATCCAATGTCTGCCTTTACTTTTACAGGTTTTTATCTAAAAATCTGTAATAGTATTAATTGAGGACAGGTTAAAAATTAATCATTGATAGCTGCTCTTACATGGATTTGATGACTAATTCAATCAAGTAACATTTAGTCAAATTTTTTCTCTTCTAGGCTATTAGGACCTTAACATATATCCTCATTTTAACTCCTAATCATAAACATCTATAAGAAAAACAAGTAAGTCCCTTATCATTATTGAATTGCAAAGACTTTTTAACTAAAAATGAAGCCTGAGCTTTACAAATCATGTACGCTCCTTGTTCAGCTGTCCATTTAGCAGCTAAATAGTCATTACCCAAATCAGTGGTTTAGCAAAGACAAAAAGAAAAAAATGGATTGTGGAGGATTGATTTACACTCCAAACGTCCCGAAAAACTCTTGACATGCAATAATGTTACTGCCTGAATGCAGGATCTCCACATCGGAAACCATTGACAAACTGAACAAATCAGCCTTTAGAAAATTGTATGTCGATGTTTACAACAGGTTTAAGTTTCATAACAGTGCTTTTCTGGGAGATGAAACTTACCCAAATAGAAGCCTCTCGCCCTGCTGTTTCTTTTGAAAACCTCCAGAAGTCATCAATATTGAACATGCATACAGTTTTCATCCAACTGTAACAATATTATTTTCCGTGCCACATATTTGTATATGCATGTGTTATGAAATCCATACATCTTGTCTCAATTGTTTATGAACTTCAGAGCGTTAAGAAGTCTGTTAACTTTTTTCTGTTTGTTTTAATGCTTGTGGCAATTCTACTTCGTTTATTCCATCATGTTCTGCCAAGAGCAGCTTCCTGGAGTAAAGTGGCAGCGAGCCACTACACAAATGATTTATTTTTCTGTATATTATTCGGTTATTTTCAGATGTTTGGTTATGGCAGGTGCAATGATGCATGCTGAATGTTGTAAGTCTGCCCAGTACTTCACTCCAAGCTGAACACATCTGAGAATGCCACGGAGGTATCAAGTGAAACCTCGCACTGCAAACGAGTGTCCAGCTTCTTCAAAGGTTATGGGTTACAAAGTGTTACCAGTCTACACAGTGGTAATTCAACATGGCCTGTGACATTGTAGTCTTTATAGTGATGGCAGCACTAAACTGTGAGAAAAATAATCCCCCAGAAATAATCTAATTTGGATTCTGAAGCAATAACCTGGCAGCCACATGTATTTAGTGCTCCGTATACCTGCAAAAAATACATTCAGTGTCCTTTTCAGTATTCAGAAACTCTAATTGTCTTTCCATTTAGGCTTGTCCAATTGGTTTCCGCCACTCGTTACTTTAATAGACGTGACCCCCTTCAGGAGCTAAACTCTGTGACATATATCTGTGTCTGTTACCCCAAGCTTTAGAGCTGAACACATCCCCGTGGACAAAACAAAACATAAAGTCTAAACAAAACGGTTACAGGAAAAAGCTCCTGTAGACGTCACCTTTTGTTATTTAACTCATTTAACTCCATAAATCCAGCGTCAGGTTTACCTGCGGCGTAGGGGAGGAAGCAGCTTGGGTTGAATTCTAACTTCTTCATGAAGCGGATCTGTCCATTGTCGCGGAGGCAGAAGAGGTTCCTCTCGCCCAGAACAAGGATGGAGGAAGAGGAGTGGGAGAAGGAGGACACGGACAGATCCAGGGCCTGCTCTCCGAGGACCAACATCCAATCAGGCTGCAGGAAAAAACACACACACAATTATTTATTTTACTAATTTCTAGCATAACAGGCGTGATGGTGGCAATTCAAGTCTCCTTAAGAAAACTTGCAAATATTTGCCATACTACTTGCTAACACTGTTATTAGAAATGCACACACAGAGGTATCTATGCTCAACATGTGGATTCTCTTATCATTTCCATGGGGAGCGACAGCCCTTAAGATTTCGATACATCTGGATGTGTGTTTAGAGCTCACCGTCAGCCTCTTGCCTGCTGTCTTGAGGGGCAAATCAGAATCCTGCCGAGTCTCTGCATCTGTAGCCACAGCCAGAGTTTCGTACCTGAAAATCAGAGATACGAAAAGCTGTTCACACAAATAAATCAGGAAACCATTCCTGAAGGACGTGTTATCAGAATGTGCTCTGTTAAATCTGTAAGTTCCTTCAAATATGAAAGGCTTTGAATGCGGTTGTTTTCACGGCTTTAGCTGAATGGAGTCCATTCTGTTTTGGCCAGTTTGAGAGCAGCACAAGGCTCTAACAGGTTTTTCTCACAGACCTTGCTCAAGCTATTCAGTGAGCTCCTCTCAAAGAATTCCCATCAAATGTTTCCCTGCAAGCCAAAAAACGTCAGAATAGAGCCCTAAAATATCAACAACCCTTGTTACTTCCCTCACGAAAAGTCAGAGAAGAAACCCCAGGACACAGAATGTTTATTCACATTCAGATATTAAATCCAAACACTGCTCAACATGTTGGTGGAGAAAAAAAACTCGAACAGCTTATGTTCCCCCTTCTTCATTACAGTTTCTGTCAGATCAGTCAACACCTACCTTTCCCCAGAAAATGTGGCGTACCAGTTTTAATCAGCAATCTGTAGGCAACTGGCAGAGAATGAAGTGGTCAGACTGATCTGTGGTCAGTTGATTTTGGCATCTGTAACATCAGCCATTTTCCAGTAAGAGGCTGGCAGATGAAGCAGCTTGGCAGAAATCTATCTTGCCTCCCAAACACCTGGACGAACAGAGAGCTCCAAACCTGACCCGAGCCCGTCACCAAACCACAAACCAAACTTTTGAATAAAAGCTGATTTATCCACTCAAATTTCTCACTTTGAGTAAAGCGTAACTGTTATTAATCGAAGCAAGCAGGCTTGAAACCGAGGTAATCCCAGTGTGACTGCCACATTGCCGGCCCTGCATCTTTTAAATTAAGATCTTCAACCTCTGATGCATGTCTACAGAATGTCAGCAAACCAAGTTAGATAAAAAGATAAAGAGCTCTTTACAGATCAAATCTGTCCAGTTCTGATAAAAAAAATAAAAATAAAATCGATAATAGCCTTAATAAATAGACTCAGCATTTTTTTAATTTTACATTAGTTTACATAAAAAGTAATTGAGAGCCAAGACTTGAAAGTTTTAAAAAGAAAGTAAATAATTGTGATTTGTTTTTAACTCATCAATACAGTAGCAGCTAGAAGAACCAGAGAGCAGACTTGTGAGCTTTATGGAGGACTGCCAGAAAAGAAACCTTTTCTTCGTGCAAAACTACTTTAAGGGGATAGAAATGGACCAAAAAATACATAAGTGTCAGGAGTTTTAAACTGTAACAGAAACACAGATTGGTTTGACAACCGGACTCTTGTGTGAGTGTACAGACTAAATCCAGCATGTCAATGCAAGAATAACACCAAAAAAAAAAAAATCTGATGTTGCCACCTGTCACTGAGCTTTTCGATAATAAGGGATATGAAATAGCACGAATATATCAAACTGCACATGCATAACCGCTTACATGTGGAAGAAAAGCTGCAGAAACTATATACTCTCTTAAATAATGTCATTTGAGCTTGAATCTCCACATATTTTTTTTGCTCGATGTATTTGTTTATATCATATACAAAATGTCTACACAATGTAATCTGGTTCATTTAGTACTGACAATAAAGCTGACTTGATTATATGAACCATATAACCAGATTTTCTGTTAAAGTGAAGATCTACCAGCTCCTCAAAGACTCAGCCCTTCATGGATGCTATTATTATACCAGATCCAAGTTATAATCACCCGTCTAAAATAAAATGACTATCATCATTATTTTATCTTATTACTAGCTCTAACTTAACCCTGTCTCAACTTCTCTTGGAATGTGCTTCAGGACTGAAATGTAAAAATAAATCTATACGAACAAACTAAATGAAGAGAAATAACATTAAAAATGTTGTGGATTTATACTGTATTACAATGTTTTGCTTTTTCCCCTCATTTTCAATACCAACCAAACTTTTACTGATTCAGGGTTGTATATAAGAAGCGGGACGACAGATAAAGATAAACACCAATGACACTCAGATACATACACTGAAGTGTGTGTGTGTAGGCAATGCCCTTCACCAAGTTTAGGAAACAATCCACCCGTGTGTATGAAAAAGGATCTCTTTGAAACCTCGAGCAAACACACCCATTTACTTTCTCCATTTACATCATTCAAGGATATGACAACACACACACACAAACACACACAATAACTAAATCAAGCTCTGATTTATCAGGGCAGGAAAGAGTCCAATAACCCACACGAACTGAACGAAATAGTTTAAAAGTCGTTTTACATTGAATAAGTCCTGACCCTGTAATCTAACAGAACACACACAGAATCATTTAAATGAGAGAGTTGTGATTAATATCTAAAACAGAATTCTCTGGAAGGTAAATATTAACAACCATTTCACAGTCGAGCGAAGATCTGAGGGCGTAGAAAACATTCTTATTGAAGGGGCTTTGAACCTGAGACAGACCACAGCCACAAATCCACACAGTCATCTTTTAGAAATGTGTTTGTTAATTGATAAGTGTTTTTTCTCAGCGGGCATTCAGCCTTTGATCTCACTTAAACTGTTCAAAGCATTTTTATCTGAAAAATGACATGATTATTTACTCCTCCAAGCACCGTAGAGTGAAAGCATCTGCTGCTGGACTGCCCACTCGTTCCCTCCTGCCATTGAGCTGCTGTATACCAGAAGCTTTTCACTGGTTTCAGCCCTTTGCACCAAAGTTATGATGCTTTTGGGGTTTTGTTCTGCTGTTATTCACTTACACACAAACACACATATATGTGATGTAGTTAGAAATGTAGTGTATTAATCTATGGAAAGGGTACCAGGGGTCTGTCTAATGCATTGTAGCAGCTGGGCTGCAGAGCTGTGTTTGTGTGTCCAGAGGCAGCAGTGAAGTCAATGTTTCCACTGAGATATCTAGTCTGGAGAGTTTCTTGATGATAGCGGGGGCACCCAGATTCCAAACAGCTGGAAGAGAAAAACTTTACACATGTGCAGTGCGACTTCACAAAGGCTAGGAGATATGTCCAGGCTGCAAGGGAGATGTGAGGCATGCACACGCATACGTTGAACTGATCAAAACGTGTGCACAAGTTTCCATCTGGTTTGACCAGTCCTGCTAGCTATGCAGTGAGAATATGTAAAGTCCGGTTGGTTCATACTGCTGTGACCTGCTGATATTATGTGCAAAAGCTGTTAGTAGTACGCTGTCTGCTGCATTTCAGCGAAGTGTTGCAAAAGAAATTGGAAAAATTGATTTTTTCATTATGCCTAATTCAAATTCTACCGTCACTAATTGTGAGAAAACCTACTTGTAGCTCTCCAGCTGCCGAGCAGAAGACACGGTGAGGAAGCTGTCCGTTCTGGGGTTGTAGGCCAGTGGACCGGGCAGCAGAAAACCGGGGAGGAACCGACCGAAAGAGTAGCTGTCCTGCTCGAAAAACATCAGCATCCCGTCCATAGACTGAATGCACAGGGAATGGTGACCTAAAAGACATGGGGGGGGGCAGGAGATGGTTACCACTATTGCCACTGATAACAAAATCCCTCGTAATTCAGCCAGGTTTGTGGGAGGTGGAAGTGAACAAAGTTTGACCTCCTCTCCAAAGCTTTTCATCATCTCCTTCTATCACTCTCTCGAAGCAACGTAGTTCAGCACCACAAAGGTCTTTGAAAAGCGATTATGTCTCCAAGTCTTCTCTATTGTTCACATTTGAATAATTCATCAAAGATTGTTGTTCTCTGTGACAGCAGGATTTAGCTCCCCCTTACAAAACATGCACATACGTTTTGGCTTTAGACTAGGCGCCTAAACTAAGATGCTGGATTAGTACCTGTGAAGGTAAATTTAAGTTCAACCCTGGGTTTTTGGTTTCATGAATGTGGCTCATTTTTTTTCCCGATCAAGGAAAACCATCCTAAACTGTAAAACTATTGCTGAGGGGGAATTTTTTTTTTATTTAATCCAACATTTAAAAGGTAACTGATCATGTGTGGCACAACACATGATCTTATCATTATACAACCAGATGTACCAGGGATTTAGTGATAAATTAGTGTTAGTGTAGATGCCACATACTCTATCTTATTGGTTCCCCAAAAAACATACCAAACACAATGACACGCTCATGTTACAGCACATAATTCAATAAGTAGTTTTAAATTCTGCTTTAGGATCGTCCTCCCAACACTTTGCAGATCTGCACGCTCGTTCTCACACCAGCGTTTGTAACCTTTTAACATATGAGTGTCTGGTTTATACACATGGTACTGGGTCAAGTTTAAGACGGTGTATAAAACTGAAAAAACAAAAAAACAGCCAACAAAACTGGTCAATAAAAACTCTATATCAGGTTAGATATGGTTTTATTGTGTCCTATAGTCACAGACGGCTTACAGGATGGCTTCTGTTTTACTTCAGCCGTAATGCTATGTTGCACTGCGAGGTGTTTCTCTCCCTCTTTCTGAATCTGATATCTCCATTAACACGTCCACACACACACCTGAGTCGGAGCGCAAATGTGCACATGCGTGCGTGTTTCTCAGGAAAGGTCTCTTGTAGGAAATACAAAGCCCTGGCACAACAACACACACTGCTACACACATGGCCATAAAGCAGTGGTGCTTTGTGACCAGAGGACTATAATTAGGCCTCAATGCGCTATTAAAACTCACACTGCCATCAACTAGAGGTCAGGAAGACAGCCACCTACAGCGCAGCGTTCCCCATACACACACTTAACATCATTCACCGGGGATTTAGACAGAGAAGCTGCCCACACCTACACACCTATTCTGTGTAAACACGTGAGAGCAGGCTTTGGACTGATGAGCGGCCGTTCAGGGTGGCCGTTAACACGCGCAAAGACAAGGTCTGACACACCACCAGACCTCATGAACGCAAGAGTTAAACATAGTGTTCGATATTGAGCCACGGGAAATAGTCAAGGTGGCCTCACGTATCTGCATATTTCTGTTTAACGCCGGGCCTGTTTATTAATCCCACAGACATCCCAATTAGGATTAGTTTCTTGTGACATTTATTAACATTACTAAATTAATGCTGAAACTCCTTTGCTTTCAGTTGATGTTGGCATGGACATCATGGTGCAAAAATTGACCTATGTATTCATTTCCTCTCCTTCTGGGTTTTATGGCATACAATTATGATATTTTCCATGTGAATTGTATTTGACGGCATCTTCAACATTGCACAAAAAATGTTAAAAAACCACAGCAATACATTTTTGGTTTAAAAAAACCCAATAAATCACAATTGATCAAATTGCTGGTAGTAGTTAAATAATATCAATATTCAAATGGAAAAATATCAAAGTCTCGAGTTCTTGAAAAAGGATCTTCAATAAGAGCCCGAAAGCTTTGCATTAATCTTGAATTTTGATTCAGATTTGCTCTTTACAGCCTTTCTGTATCATCAGGGGAGAACAAAAGTATAAAATAGTCTCTTAAAGTGTTTGAAAGTTGTTTCGGTGTTCCATCAAGGACTCCTTTCAGATATGCCAGGTTTGAGCAGAAAATCAGGCTAAGTCACAAGAACCTGGACTAAAAAAAAAAAGAAAAACAAAGAGAGAAAAGAGTACAGTCATCAGGTGTTCTAGCATACCCTGTAAAACCCAGTGAATACCGCAGAAATGGATGTTCCTCCAAGACAAGCACTTAACCGGTTTATCAGGTATCTGGTGGTCAGTGCAAAGGTAAAAAATAAACACACTCAGACAGTTGACACAGCTCGATATCGCCAACAAAAAGTGCTACGTGCTCAAAATGTGCGATAATAGGAACCGTGAAAAGAAAACATGGCCTCACATGGCCGGGTGTAACGTGTCGGAGAGAGCCGGACCCCGCCGCGGCGCGGGAAAAGGGCCCCGCATTCGGCGTCATTACGAAGACACAAAGTGGCCAACAAAGCACAAAGGCTGGCCGCGCGGCGCAGTGGGCAGCGCCTGGCCTGGCTGTGTGAGAACGTGAGCCTGTGGGTACATGTGAACGTGTGCCCCTGCAGGGTTGTGGACCAGGGGCCAACTTTTTCTTCTTTTTTTTCTTCTCTGGTGCAGGGTTGTCTTTGCATGTCTGTATTTCTGTGTGTGTGTGTGTGTGTGTGTGTGTGCGTGGGTCTGGCCTAGGCTTCCAAAAGACCAGCCCTTGCTCTCGGTTTGAGTGTGTGTGGCCTGAATGTGACCCAAACCCAGAGGCAGCTCAGCTATTAGAGCAGTATTAGCACAGGGCTGCTATTACTGCGCCTACAGCACTGCTAAATGGCTGCTATTATAGTTCGCCGCATACGCGCCGGACGCTCACGTGTAGGAGCAGACATGTCTTGTAAAAACACTCCCACGCACATGTAACACACTCTGCGGTGGCTCCTCATATATGAAAACACACACTCTGAAAGTGTTCTCAAACTTAAACTTTCATTCTTTCGATCATGAGTGGCAAATGTCGGTGCGCGCTGAGCAAACAAACGCAGAAAACACCCTCGGGTGTGTGTCCACAGACGCGTGTTAATCACTAAGTGGGTATTTGTGCGTTTGTGTTTCCGCGAATCAGAAGAGCGAGCAGGGGGCAACTTCCTCAAATCAAATGCTCCCAGATCAAACGGCTCCTCTGACTTCAACACAACGCGCGTATCTGCAGTGCGGATGGAGGCGGCGGGGTTTTATTACTGTAATTTGGGTTTTGGAACCGAACCACGGCAACAGTAAACAGGCAAGACAGAAATTATAGAGAAGTGTGCAAAATAAGGTGTACCGTGAAAGGTGACGAATGGATAAAAAATCTCTTTTCGGGGATGTTAATTAAACATGAGGCCAACCTGGGGGCTTCGTGGTTTCACACCAGCAACCACATGTCAATCTGACAGCTTCAGGTCCATTACAGGGGAACTTTATTGGCATTTTTACTTTATTTTGTCACGATTTCGGTCAGTTTTAAATGGCAGCTCATAAGTTCGATCTGGCAGAAATACACAATTATTGCAATGTTAGGATAAGCCACTCAAATTCATACCAAGTGCTCCTGTAACTTAATTTTTATCAAATCATGACATACCCTAAGGATATAACATATAGATTGCCATCTTCAGGCCTATGCAAACCATTCAAAGGACACAACCCGACGGGGGGAAATGACTGTTCTTTTGACTCTGTCATGATTTGGAAAACAAATCGGGTTAGCCAAAGTCAGCTGTCAGAAGAAAAGGAAAATAAAAGCAAAGATGAGCCAAGTGAATGCAGCGGCGCCTTATAAACTTGGACCCATCCTTGTGAAGCGGTTCCTAAGAAAGACAGCGGCCCGCCACCGGACTGACGTTTCTGCTCCACTCTGGAGCTGAACTCTGACCTCCGTGCTGAGAGGAGAGGGGGAAAAGGGAATTCCCCCTCAAGAGGGAATACAAAATCCCATTCATTCAGGACACAGCGCAGGTGGGATGAGAGCAATTCTAGCGCCTGCACTGCCATCTTGTGGAGAGAGCCAATAGGAGAGCGGGAGATGATTTAGATGGAAGACAGGAGAGCGGATCGCTTCACTCGACCGAAGTTTGAGGTGAGTCACGCTGCACTTGGGTGGATATTCATGTGAGGATCATTCTGAGTTTTTGCTTTCTAGAGAAAGGACGCAGCTCCACGGAGCAGTGAGACCAGAAAGCACGTGGAAGCAAAGTCAGACTCGAGTGTTTGTGGTGCGCGCTACACACGTGCACTGAGGTACGGGCTGAGGTGCTGGTTTTAATTAGCTCAGACTATTCTATCATTCACACACACACACACACACACACTAAGACACACTCACACAGACTCTAAAAATGGAGTGAAAGACAGGTTCATCATGCCAGGCCGCAGACTCTGGCAAGCACTCTTCACACACACACACTTCTTGACAATACACTCTTTATTTGAAAAAGCCATTTTTTGTACTTTAAAGGGGATTCCCAGTGTGTCTGTGCGCACAACTGTGTCTGTGCACGCGTGTTTTTTTTGGACACTTACGACTCAAGGGCTTTTCCCTACTTGTTTTTTTTCCGAGAGCCCTGATGACTAAAGAGAGCGCGGTTACATGACCCTTCTCTTTTTCCCTCCTCTGGTGCTGCCATGCACATGAATCAATGTCCCCCCATGCACATATGCCTATTGCACATGAATTTGTTAGGATTCCGCCTGGAAAAACACAACCCAAGGCCACGGCCTTAAGCCTAAACAAAGGTCTAAGCTTAACCTTTAAATAAATGCTAATGTGTTTGAAAGCAACACAGGACAAACCAGACACAGCTAAAGTTTCCTCTTCAACCCTTTAAAAATTCAAACTGGTCCTCATGATGCTAAATGTACAAAAACCAACAGTTATAAAACACAACTGGTAAAATGTCAAAGTGTTCTATCAGGTGATTTTTCTTTTCATGTTGAAGATAATTTAGCTTTTTTGTGATAAAAAAAAAAGTCCTCTAGTTGAAATGTGCTTAAACATACAGTAAAAACTGTCAACTAATGTCAGATTTTGCCTGCAGGCCTTTCTACAACACGTCAGCTTTAGGATAAACATGTAGCGGAGAATTTATACATGACTACCTGTGACTCCTCCGAATGTCCCATAAGCCATGTTGCACGCAGTTCTTTGCAGGTTATGCTCGTAAACCAACTTCATCTGGTACTGGTCTCCATGATCCACGTTCCCTGCAGTACCTTTACGCACAAACGTCAGGAGAAAAAGTGTAGGATTTTTTTTCAAACGAAACATCCCTCTGAACATGGGTGACAGAAGATAGATTAATTTGTTTACTCCATGTGTTTGTTACCTGAGACAGAATACACCGACAGCTTTCTGGGGTGAAGAACAGCCAGGTGAAGGAGATCTGAACACCTGTGGAGGCAGCAAAAAGACACATAACCCTTCCAGACACAAGTGAAAAAGAGTAAAGCAGGTGGCGAATAATGATTTTGTGCCTGCCAGAGCCCCAATTCCACCACGTCAGTCAGGGGGGGATTAAAAAAAAAATGTTTGTTTGGCTGCCAAGAACTCTGAATCAAATGATCCAGATGTGAGCTGGATCACAGGTCTGACAATGGGTGAAGCTGCATGCCTGCAGCTGGAGAGCTTTTTTCTCCTCAGACATTCCAGCAGGGCAGATACTTCTTCACTGTGGTTCAATCCATGTTCTCAGCTACAGGGTGGATTCCACTCTTGTTTCAACCCACACGTCTAAAATAATTACTGTAACAGCTGGTGTTTTTTTGTTTCAGATGATGGCTGCGGTTGGTTGGTAGGTGACGTTCCAGTGATGCCGATCCATGATTTGTTACTTATTTACATGGCCGCAAACCCACTGAAGAGGCCTGTGTTGACTTTCTGGCACCAGACAAAAAGAAAAAAAAACAAAAAAACAACAACAAATAGTCAAGAAATTGGATCCCAGAAGTTTTTGTTTTTTTTCCCCCTTGGAAAACCGCATTAATTTTTCACCATCGGCCCACCTCAGCCCGCCGTCCACAACATGCTCCACTGTGAAGGCCGACGTCCAAAACGCCCTCCAATTTCTAAAGAATGCAGCGCTGAAAAACCACAGGTAACTAAACACAACATCTTCCAAACAGGTTGGTTTAGTTGGATTGTGCTCCCGGGGCAATGACGTGGGACGTCTTCAAGATAGACCACAGCTTTTCCCAGAAACCTCGGTTTCCAGGAGGTTCCTGCGCGACCACGGAAAGGCGATGTAAGGCAATGGTGTTGAGCTTTGTGGTGAAGAGCACGCAGCTATGGACACTACATTTATTCTATATTTACCGGATTATGACGACCAGCATTAATACAAAAGTACATTCTTATCAAGTCATCTCAGACTAGATTTTTAAGAACAGCCATGACTTTCTAGTAATTTTTAAAAGGTGCATTTGCAGTACGTTACATTAAGGAAAACAAGTTTTTAATAACAGACTTAGTTCCTGAATCAAACTACGGTCTAATACATTTCATGAAAAGATACATAGCAGCCCTGTATTCTCCACTAACGAACACTCGACTGCTAACCAAACAAAATACCCTTCATTACACCCATCAGCTAAAAAACTGAACCCAGTAAGCCGGTTTCAGACGTCCACGTCCTTCCACCAATCTAACAAAAACTGAACAAGCTGGCAACAGTCTTGCAAAACACTCACACCTCCACTTCCAACATGGGAAAAAAATCTGAGCTGCAGCATTTCAGGAGAAACAAACACAAAGGAGGGGGTTCCTGGCAGATGGTGTGATTTTCAAAGGAATTCAACAGATTGAAATAAATAAACAGCCCCGTTCAAACTCTGCAGCTCTGCAGTTTCCAGTCTTGGTGCAGAAAGTTGAGCAATGCAAAAGTTTTTCCTCTCAAACAGACACGAGTCCGGCTTGAAACTGCCAGTGCACTTTCACTTAAAAGCAAAAAGTCGATCAGATTTGTCACACATAACACAGTTTTAACTAATAAGACTACCTTCAAACATGGCAATCAACAAGTTTTCGTGCTACATTTGGAGCTCCTGAAACACAGAAAATGCATCTGGACAGGTCCCTCGTTTGTTGAATATACTTACGAGACAAACTTTCCGAGTTCAACCTGGATGATGGCATTTTGGAGCTGAACTTCTAGAAGCTGGGCATCAGCTTGCCCCCCTTCCTTCAGCTTATTGGGATGAGGAGAGAACATCCGTAGCATCCCCATGTAGCTGCCCACCACAATTTTGTCTGGGAAATTTAAAATCAAAAGGGGGAAGTCATATTATCATGAGCCAAAGTAATGACATGACACAGGTGCTTCATTATTGAACTACATATGAAATAAAAAATCCAGAGATGTTGATACACTGGGAATTTACCACGGTCTTGATCTACATTTAACTATGGGCAGTAAGTCAGTATCAACTTTGGCTGGATAAAAAAATGACAGATGCAGTAGATTTTTTATATAATGTTGGAAAGACTATAAAAAGCACAACATGTCAGCATATTTTAGATTCATCCTTTCAGGCTGTAACATCTGTGGAGGTTTTTGGAGATTCTCTTCACAAACTGACCGTGTCCTGTACCACTGTTGTCCACATCTCCAACGCACAAGCATCCCTGGTCAAACTCCTCGCCCTCGCCAAGAGCTGCTGACCACCACTCACGAGCTTTGAACAAAGACATGATGCCTCTGACTGGGAACACAGAAAAGGTGAAAAATGTGAGGTGGTGAATGTTGTCAACTTGATATATACATAAATGATCCAGTGATTGTGTTTGTCCGAGCTCAGCAGAGGCAAATTATATTTTCTGAGCAAACCTGCTTTTACTTAATGAGATGTAACAGTACTTTGAAATGTAGTATAGGTAAACAGAGAGATGAAGAAGGTCTAGAATCAGTCTACCAATATACATGGAGCCTGAACCACTGGCCCTTTGTCCCCTTTACCAGTAAGATTAAGTGCTCTCTGCATGAGATTGGAGCTAGTCACATGACTTTAGGATTGTGTGCCTGATCGACAAGGAGAATAAGGATGGTGGTGTAGGCGGGGACAAGCAGCTTTTCTACTTGCTAAGTGCTGAGCAGGTGGAACAGTTAATCCAGACCCAGAGAATCCCTGCTATTCACAAAACACTGCCTTATAGATCTGGGCAAGGGTTACAGCAAATTCGCTTTGACCATCTTCTGAATATCAGTAAGAATGAAACTGGTGCAACATTTCAACTTCTCTCTCTTGTCTTTATATGAAGATCAATGACTTTCAAATGGCAAAGAAGTTTTCCCAGACCAAGTCCCCGTGACCTTATGTGTAAAGGCATGTTGTAGTGTACTTAAACAAATAAAAAAGACAACCCACTCAAGTCTGACTGTGCATGCAAGCACCATTCTAAAGCAAACTGTTTCATTATCACAGATCAAAACCTGCAAATAGATCAACCATTACATTGTAATGGAACTGAAAGTTTTTTCTGGGGTGTTTAATAAGAAATATCATTTTTGTCTGCATCTTTGAGCTGTTCGATTGGTTTATATAATTCCACACCACTGATGTCATATGCATTTTACTTGACCCAGAACCCTGAGTAGAAACTACTAATAATCTTGGGTTTCACTAGTCCATAATAGCACACAAGAGGATTATTTATTTTCACACAAAATTGGATTTCCTCCATGTTACAAAAATGGAAATAGCAATGTACATTTAGAAGGCGTCTAATATCTTCTACGACTCATCCCTGAACAGGTAAAATACCTTGCAACTGACGTAAAGCTGGCTGATTTAACTTTAGCTTAGCCGCGGCTAATTAGCTAGCTCTCTAACTTAACTACAGTGCCTAACAGGTCGGAGCCAGTGTTGCCGCAATCGATCGTGTTTTCGTTAAGGACGAAAATCACTGAATGTTGTTTTCAGATTTTCTTACCCTTACAAAAACGCTGCAACTCGTTTGTTACTCCTCGTTCACACAGACATCACATTTCTCACTCTCTTGACTGCAGCCATCGTCCTGTTGTCATGGCACTGACGCTCAACGAGAAACCGGGGCCAGTGCGCAGAAGCGGAAACAGAATGCAGGATGGGAAAGCGAGTTGTATTTTTTGGGTGAGGCGCTGCACCTTTTTCTCGTCAAATTTTAGTTTTTAGCACGTAAGTAGAACAAATACACTGTGGATAGTCTATTGTGTCATCGGATGGCTGAAACTTAAAATTATTAGAATCAAATAAACTGAAATTATTATATTTTAATCTGTTTTCCAATTTGATGCATTGTGAAGAATGCACAGGAGGAAAATATAAATTTGTCAATCAACAAATCATCATGACATTAATTTGTCATTATCAGTATTACAATGTGTTGTGCATTTATTTCCTTTATCTTCTTTCAATGTGGAATTATTTCAAGCCTAAAGCCAATATTTTATCAAGAGTGAGGCTTAATAAATAATTATTTTAACAACTGGATTCTCTGAATCAACATGAAGATCCTATAATTTATATAATTCAATTTCTTCCTTTAACATTATAGAATAAAACGCAATTGAAAAGGTTTATCAAAAATGTTATATCTGTAACTGTGATGTCATTCCTTCCACATATGCATGAAAAACACTTTTGTCCAAATGCCTTTTTATTGAATTTTTTTTATCACACCATCAAATGAAGCCACCTGCTTATAAAAATAAAACACACCAAATAAAACGCTTAGAAATATCTCAAATTTAGTAAAACAACATACATTTCCATATAGCTTCAAGATATACAGTGACATTAGCACACACTATATACATGTATATATATATGTGTGTGTGTGTGCATACATACATATACATAAATACATTTCTGATTTGTTTGACAAAAACTTAAAAATATACTTAACAATAAGTAAAGGCAACATGCAGGTGATAGCAGCACATTTAAAAAGCATACATATTCAAGAGTAACCTTTAATACAATATGTTGAGACAAACAAACACTGAGACATCTTAGCTTTTGAAGTTCCTGGAAACTATTTTAGAGGTAGTGCTCAAACCACAGAAGTGAAAGGTGCCACACTGACACTTCATTTGCTGAGTTTTACTGAGCCACAGATAGTGGTGTGTGTCCCTCTGTTTAAAGCAACAAAGAAATACCTCAGACATACTGTCACATTTTTTCATCGAGAACCAGAAGGCCTCAACTCTTTGTTTTACTGTCGTAATGCCTGCTAATGACCACCAGAGGTCAGCTTTAGCACACAAAACTGTCAATGGCTTTCAGTGCCAGCTTGAAAAACAACGATGCAAGCAATGTGGTGAATATCTTACATCAAAATGTGTATTTGCCATGAATGTTTCAGTTATAGAATGGGTCTTCTTCTTGTGCATTAATATGATATCAAATTAGCACACAAAAAAATTCAAATTTAAAGACAATTTATAGGGAAAAAGATTGATGTAAACATGGCTTTTCTGTGCAAGAAGCTGTTCCTACATCCATAAATCAAAACAACAGCCACATGCGCTTGTGTACAGGGAGCTTGATTTACCCATGCACAGAATTTAAAGTGCGTTTCCTCTTTTTCCTCTTAAACTTTAATTTCACCAGAATCTAACTCTTTCGCTTTTATGTTAAATAAATACTTATCTTTATGTGACTGCTGTCACTCAGAAAAACATTCAATTTTTTCGTCCAGTAAACACATTTCCAAGGTCCTTATAGCTATTGAATTCATTACAATTATCCTTTTCTAGTATAACCTGTTGTGGACGTGGGTTTAAACCCAACAGCACCTCACTTTGAAACACTGACTGGGTGAACAAATCACAGCCTAATCACGTCGTTTAAGAGACAGGGGTGACAGGCATGCCGGGGGAGTTCCAGGAAACAGTGTCCTTTTGGAGGCACCTGGTTACCTGTGTACAATATTTACTATATCAAAAATACTTCTAATAAAAGGTAACAAGATGGTGCAAATGACAAAAGATGGAGTGAGAGTTTTCATCTCACTACTCGTCTATGACAAAATGATGCCCAAAAGAAAAACATGAAACAATTCAAACTGACAAAACAAACCAGAGACAGGAAGCTGTTTGTGAGAACTTTAAAAACAGTTATTTTAGCCGACGTACGGTGTCTTTTGAAAAAGGCTGTTGGGCAGCAGTGTTGGGTGGGGGGAGCTGGAGCGCACAACTCGAGTTAGATCTGAAGAGAGTGGAAGGGCTGAAAAGTGTGTTGTGTCTCTAACTGGCCGGAGCCGCCAGGATACAAGAGGGAGGGGGGGGGGGGGGGGGGGGGGGGTAAAATGGAGGGGATGGAGTTATAGAACTTTCTGGAGAATGGCGTTGGGCACTTCCAGAGTTTCGTCCTTCACGAGGACGATGTCATAAGAGTCCAGGTATTTGTCCAGTCGCTCTTCCACCTGAAGAGATGACAGGTACATTTGTTAGTGAAGGCTTTGAAGTTCACGTAGTGACACTCCACACAACCACAACACTGCAACACAAAACATTAATGGAAGTTGCAAAACTAAAAATCTTTAAGCGACATGTTTCATGTTTATGTTTGGCACTTTTTACTATTATCAGAGCAATCCAATCTCCCTCCAAATCGTCCCTTTTCTTTTTAAAGATTAAGAAACACATGAAACGTGGTCACAAACTGAGCCATTTGAGCCGTTATTGCACCTTGTCATTGAGGAAGCCGATTTTGAGGATGTTCTCCACATTCGGGACGCCGTCTGCCATGCTCAGGTCTCCCATCGAGTCACCCAGCAGGATGATGTTGCTGAACTCTTTCACCTGCTTGAAGTAATCCGTGTTCCGCAGGGCGCCGTCGTGCTTGTTGTACACGTGGATCAGCTCACCTTTGAACCCCCTCAGGACTCCCTGACAGATCAAGAAAAATTATGAATAACTCCCGTGGCACCGGCTCTTTGTTTCCTCAGTCGTCGGCTCGCTGAGCAGGACCTACGTTCTCATCGAAGTCCATGAAGTTGGAGACGACTTTGATGTTGGGGTGGTAGACCCCGGCCTGGCGGATGATTTCCTCCAGGACATCTCCCAGGCCGGCGGAGAAAATGAAGACAGGCACTTTGTGCTGATGCAGGCAGTCGAAGAACAGCTCGAAGCCTTCTCTGAAACGGGACAAATGGTAGAACAAGAATAAGTGGGTCAAGGTTTTTTTTTTTTGCGTTTTTTTGTTTGTTTTCATCACTCAAACATTTCAGCCTTTTTAAATACCTGAGAGCAACATCAGACTCCCTCACCACCTCTGGAAGTTTGTCCTTCTCCAGCCGCTGCTCTACGAGTAGTGAGTGGGACTTAAAATACCTGTAAACAAGTTGAGAATTAGGTGAAAAAGTTTATGCCGCTGCTCATCGAACGGCACAGTGAGGGCTGGCAGCTTTGATTGTGTCTTACCACTCCACCATGAATGGATACTTCTCCTCCATGGTGAGTTGAGGGTCAATCTCAATGGGGTAGTATTTATTCTTCAGCTGCAGCAGCTTCTGCCTGCACTCTTCTGTCACCAGTTTGCAGTTATCTATGATATCTACGCACAGAAAATAGAGGGATCTAATCAAAATGCTTGTTTCCAAAAAGAAAAAAAGAGAATTCACATGATGGCGTCTGCAGAGCAAAAGGAAATGTTTGTGTAATCTTTTTTATGCTTACTGTGACACGTTGGACAGCGTTTGCCATTGACAGCAAATTTGCTTATCGTCATGTCAAAGTCTGTGATGATCTGAAATATCAACATTTTGTCCATCAGAACCACAGAGGAGCACCGACACAAATATATATATATAGTAAGAACCTCTACAGGACAAGTAAAACATATACATGTACAGCACGTTATACTTTTTCTTCATCTACAAGGCTGTCATCAGGATTTGGTGTTGTACCTGCAGTTTAGAGGCTCCTCCTTTGATGAGGCCACAAATGATCTGCTCCACCCTCTCAGGGTCCCTCATGTGGACTGTGGGTTTCTCAAACTGAGGCATCTGGAATTCAACGGAGAAAGAGCTCATTATGAGGATATTGTTCAAGAAGCTTTGTGGAGGATTAGGAGATGTAGAGTGATGAAACTCGAGAGTGCAGCCATTTTTTAAAACCTATATAGTTGTTAAAACTGTTCCTAAGGGGCACAGAGACTACAAGTTGTATCTTGACTTTGAACCCTCATATACACATCTCGTACCCACACACTCAACTCCAACTTAAAGAATTTTCTTTAACATTGCCTCAAGCACAGGAGAAGAACATTACGTCCCCCCAGTTCAGACGGAGCACGGTGCTGGGAGGCGTTTCTGTCTGAGCAGCTGATGTTTGGAATCTGTGGGCGTTGTCTAACCAGCTGAACGGACTCACAAGCAGCAGTCAGACACTCTAGAGAGGAGGTGGGCTGAATCTGCGGGTTGGATGGCACATGGATCAAGAGGAGAAAAAGGCTAAACTCATCTCCACGACATGTAAGGATTTCCTAAACTTTTTTCCCCCTGCACAGTCAAGTCCACTAAGTCCAATTAATGCAGTTTTTACTGACGTTTAAACGGTCTCCTCTCAACTGGCTGACGATGGACAGCCTGCCGCAGTGGTAAAATAATCAATCGAGTCACAGGAAAGTCGGGGCTACTCCACACCGTTTATCAGGAGTAATTAATGAGTCTGGTAAGCTGCTTGTGACACAGTTGTGCACCTATATCATGTTAGTCAACTGAGAGGGGATTAGCCATCTGTAAAATGACTGAAACTCAATTTCATTTTTTTTTTTTAAATGGGTCATATTTTCTAAAATGCAACAGAGCAGAGAAACATTTAGGTCCCAACATTTATACATATTAAAGAAAAAGCTAGAGCAAGAGGCACATAAGGCAAAGCAGATGTAAAAAGTGCAATCACACACCACAGACACACACAGTAACTTCAACCCCCAACACAGCTTCCTCTTATATAACACAGTTTGGCTTAGTAGCAGCTCATAAATTACTGACACACGACACTCAGAACACAAGCTAAATATAAACCCGTCTATTTTTTCCCAACACTCTCAATTAAGCTCAAACTACAAAACAAAAATCCAAAACAACTTCTTCAATTCAGATTTTTTTTGGTCAATCAAAGGCCGTATTTACGGGCAGGATTAAGAAAAAAAAACAATAGCCTGATTCTTTAGACCCACAAGACTTTCTTAAAGGATGGGTTTTGATTACAGTGCTACTGGGGACAAATACATGTTGCATTTACAGCCTCATAAAACCTGCAGCTCAGTAACAAACGTGAAATTTCAGAAGGGTTTTGCAGGGCCTGCTCTCCTAGAGAATAGATCCTTTATTAGGCCTTTCTTTGTCCTCACACCGGGGGAATTAGCGATTCTACCTCAGCAAAACAAGCAAATAGGAAAAAGAGAACACAAAGGAAATTCAACAAACTAAAAAGTAGAGAGGATAGATTAATCAAGTTCTATACGTGCACATAACTTTTTAAGAAATTTGAAAGTTACTAAATTGACACTCATATCCAAAATATACTTTCCACCCAGTTTTACAAACTCTATCTTAATAAAATGACAAACTATTTCCATTACAAAGAGTTTAGAGACATTCTGACATGACTTGAATCAACATGAAAAGCAGCAAAAACTGAAGCAAACAGGTAAAGTTTGCTAATATCACGCACCAAGGCTGCACACAAGCTTACCTCGGGTCTGTTATTTCAGCCAAAACAAGAGAGGGGAAAAGATTGTATGGCCACGCGGGGTTTATATATCTACAGGAGCAGGCAGGGAGGGAGAGGGTGTTGACTGAGGCCGATCAAACAACGTAACCCCTCCTCCCTACACACAAATACAGACACATTTCACCACACACACCCGCCACAAATTCATGTGAAATGGGGTCAGTGCAGTCAAAGCAGCGTGTGCGGTTTAGCCTTTTTTTTTTTTCCAGTAATGTGACCTCTGACTCTTTGGAAAAGGAACTATTAAGAATCAATTAGCAGGGGAAGGTTCGCTTTAGGACGGTTTCTGCTGAGTCCGTGCATTTTTAACACGCAGGCCTCCCGGGCAAACACAGGCACACTAAATAGCCTGAAGCCACACTAAAGGACTGAAGGGTTAAGGGTCACCCAAGCACCAGTCATGGTGTGACAATGGAAAAATGCTCATATCGGCTCGTGGCTACGTCTCGCCTGCAGTCATTCGGACGCACACACAGAACTTACAGTGGCTTTAGCTTATCTTTCCTCTACGGCTTTAATATTTGGCTCCCATATGGCGGGTTATCTGCACATTTTTGTCCGAGTCTGAACACGTACGTGAGGCCCAAAGACTAGGAACCCATCTATTAAAGGGGAAAAAATCTTCTTGGAGTTAAGGTCTGATCCGTGTGAGGATCCAGAGTAACGTCAGATGAATGGAAGCGTCAGTCCAGCAACCTGGATGAGAAATATGAAGGTTGGGATGAGTGGTGGGAGAAATGTGTGATGCGGGTCTTCATTAGTAAAACTACAGATGTTCAAAACAAATAGCCGACAGGAGTTTTGCTAATCTGAAGCTGTAGGCTTCTATAAATGTCATATCGATATGTTGTAACAAAAAATATTGAATCTTTTAACGGTTGGCAATCTAGGAAAAAAAAAGAGAAAGTCACAAAGTAAAAGTGGCCCACCCTCCTGTCCTATTTTTTCTTCAAGAAACACAATTATACGCCTGGATGAAAACAGCCAAGAACTGTTCATTTTAAATCTACAGGATACAAGAACCTGGGAGACAGGAGCACATCATATCTTCATAAATAATGATCCACTGTTTCTAATTCCAAAGGTCAAAATAAAGACAGAAACTAAGCTTCTTGTCCTAACATTTACAGAATTCAGTGAACTTTCAGGATATCTCACTTAATCAGGACCCTTTGGACTCTACACACACTTTGAAGTGTGTTACCTTTCAGTTTTGTGGAATTCAGCACAATCTGAGAGCTCTGACGTGGTTTAGACTAAATAGATTGCACACAATCAATTACAAAGTGGAGTTTTAACGTTTTATCTGTTCTGTTCTTAAGTGTCTGGGGTGTCTATAATTCAGGAAATCGTCCCCCTCCTCCCAAATCATGTGCCGACATGTCCGTCGACATGCTTATCTCAAACATTGTAGCAAAAAAGTGCTGCGCATTTATACATTTAGAGGTGAGATATGAGCGTTTGAGTGAACGTGAGAGACATTTTGCAGAAACCAGATAAGATTAAAATTAGTAACCAGCTTAAAAGAGTATGAGTAATGATATTCATATCAGTTAGAAAAAACATGTGCTCATTGGAATGTGTGCTCATATCTGTACCATAATAAGAATGCACTTGACTATGTTTGAATAATGATGTTATACAGAGAAATGCTTCATTTTAACACAGATAACCAAAAGATAACCAATACAGAGAAACAGAGTTGGGTGTTTGGCTTCCATAGGTAATATATTTCATACCGATAACTTATAAGAAGTGAACAAGATGGAGGAGCGCTGTCAACAGATTGTCAAAATCAGCCCTAGAGTGTGAGTGTTTGTACTGAAATAGTCGTGTCATGAAGACCTCTGCAAACAGCATCTGCTTTTGCCCCGGTGTCGTTTACAGGCCTGCTGCTTCTGGACACACTCCCGTGTTTTTAAATGCCATAAAGACTCAGTGGCACAATGGATGCATTTATCCTTTACCATGACCCCTGCACTTAACCCTCTGGGCCCATCTCTGGCTTCCTGCTGAATTCTCACCATAAGCAGCCTTTAAATTAAAGGGCTCCAGTATGTTTTGTGAGTCGCTTCGGATAAAAGCGTCTGCTAAATACATAAACATGTTGGATAAATAATGGTTTAGCATAATTTAGGTTCATTTTAACGGTGATGACAAAGTCTCAACTCCAGCAACGATGGATCAATTATTGACCCCCCCACAGTTGTCATAAGAAGAGAGTGGGTGTCAGTAACAACGAGGTTCAAAGTAACCATTCGAGGAAAAAAGGAGATAAAAAGAGGTAAGGAATGAGGCTTAAAGGTTGCAAAGACAGGGGTGGCGATTCTGATTATTCAGCAAAACTGCAAGGAACCAAAAGATTTCCAAGCTTAGCATGTTTGGACTTATGCACTACTTACATATGATATGGTCTCATATTTCCCGGGCATATTTTTTTAAATATATAAAAGGAATTAGGGATAGTATACATTTAAAAATTGCTCTTCGCTCCACCGGAATTTAATTGAACAAATTACAGCAACATTTATCAGTTGATTTTTATATTTATGGAAAAAAATGAGAAAAATAGGTGATCAATCTCTGTTATTGAGAACAGTGCATTTCTCATAAAGTCACAGCCCGTGAAAACACAATTCATGTTTTAATTACTCGACGTGTGACTCTTAGACAGTTCTGCAAACCTTTGCCAAAAATGTGAAAGGAAAAGTTACTCTGATCTGCCCTCTAGGGGTCTGAAGAGCTAAACACACATTGTAGAGGAACACACAGCAGTCACAGGAAAAGCTGTCCTTTAAGTTTTGAGTTTTCTGTTCCAAAAAAATTTGAGTTTGATCACAGATTCTCCTTCAAGGAAAATGACTGGAGTGGCTTTAGTTAACATCTGATAATTCAATCAGCTTTTAAAGTGATTCATTCATCTGGAATAGATTGTCATATCAAAATATCAACATCAGTTCAGTGACTTTCAGCTTTGTGACAGACGGGTTATCTATGATCCAAACAGATGAACAGTGTGGTACCAATGCGTCCAAGAGGACTTTGGATCCAGTAAGACAAACACACACGTGTAACGTCACAGCTCTTATCTATAACCTCATCACAATGACAGACCACCCAATCTGGTCTGGTGCCTGGTCTGGATCAGACTTCAAACACAGAGATCACACACACTCAGCTTGTGGCCGATATCCAAAAAAACATCCGGCTTTGTGTGTTTTCTGGTTTTATATGGACACTGCGTGTTCACCTTTTAGTTTGCAGAGTCCTTTTAAAGCATTAAATCTGACTGATTAAAGCTGAAGCTAAGCACAAATCTGTGAGGTCACATGGTTAGCCTTAACCTCTGATGCTTTTTTAATCTCTAACCCTGAATTGTAGCATCAATTACTAAATTAAATTCCGGTGGAACGCCGAACAATTTTAAAATGTATACTACCCTTAAGAGAAAGACTAGACCATATCATATGTAAGTAGTGCATATGTCCCAAATATTTTGTATTTTGATACAAAATGTGATTTTATGATGATGATGAACATGTAAAAAAAAAACATATATAGTCTACACGTTTCATCTTAAAGTCATAGTTTATATGGGTGTCTCCACTGAGTGAAGGACAAGATGAAATGATACACCAATACATTTAAACTAAGACTGTGGTGTGTCTATGGTTATACACAAAGAATATACACGGTCTGTGGTCAACAAAAATATGTACAGTTCAGGCTTGTATGGAGCAACGTACCAAACAGCTGTCTGTCTGTGAAGCAGATCCAAGACAGGAAGAAAGGCCAAATGAGGGGTTATGGAGCGGATGTTTGTGCGTGTTCACAGGCACAGGCTTCATCAAAAGCAGATGGTCACCCGTTTCCATGCTGAGAATCTCAGCAGGAAACTGTCGACATACAGTAGTCCCTGGTAATTCTTTCATCAGGAGATTAGATTAGTAAAAAAAGCAGAGAACAACTTCTTACAGGCTCTTGCTTGTAAAAATAACTGCCAACTGTTTAGGTAAAATTCACCGGAGTATAAATATAAAAACTGTATTTCTCTCCAAATCTGAAAAGAAAACTCCATTATTATTTAGAAAGCAAAAAACTGAATAAGTTCATGTGACAACCACCCTGGATCCTCCATCTGACTGAGGGTCAGCTGATGGACCAGCCAAGCGGCTCACCTGACTCACGCCAAGGCCACTCTAAGAAGTCATGAAGCGGCTCTTTGTCTCACCTCTGCTCACAGATGCACAGAGGTTTGGGTTTCATCATGATACTTTCACATATTTCACAACATCAGATTCACTGTCAATAATCAAGTGAAGGGCAGTCGAAGTACACAGCGATCTCACACATATTGCAAAAAGAAGCGTTTTTGTGCACTATAGAGCTTCCCACCAGACTAAAAACAGTGTGACACAGTCTGTGAAATAGACTATTTTACTCAGATGGCTCACAGACCAAATGGTGACAGTCATGGAACATAGAAAATGCTGTTAGGAAAAAGAAATCATACTAGTCATAGTTCTTTTTTAATAAATCACCTGATAGAATGTATCCATTACACTGTTTGGTTTTAAGACATATGGGGAAAAAAACTGATTTCATACTAAATCTGTTGTCATTGTGAGGAATTCCTGGAGAGAGTGGCGGGAGTAGAAGGCTGGAGGTGAACTAAAGCAGTCAAGACACTAGATAGACAGTAGAAAATTCAGTTGTGTAATCTGGACGCTGACAAAAGGGTTGCCGAAGATAAGGCGGGTGAGTGAACAATGCAAAGATTTGCATGGGCAGGAATTAGGGATGAGGCCTGACAGGATTAGGAATGAGTACATCAGGACAGCTTAAGTTAAATGCTTCTCAAAGTAAAAGATGAGTTGTACAGAAAAAGACACCTATTCTGAGTATATTGGATAAAAATAATCAAGACGGAGTTACAAGAGGGGAAGTCACAGTCACAGACTTAGCAAGAGGACTGACCAACACCAGAAACGCTTAACAGGACAAACGTGCTGCTGATAAAGTTTTCTTTTTTGAAACGCAGTTTATTGTAAACCTGTTTGAGTTTATGACTAGTTATTGACTCATGTTTTGCTCTGAACCGGCAGCACTTTATGTTGCTGATGTTGACTGATGGCCCTTTATGTGTTGCAGAAGCTTGCATAACCTGCATGGCATTCCGTTCAACAAAAGACAGCAGCCCAGCCCGAAAGAAGATGTGGATTGCGTCCCTGGCACGGAGATCAGTTGCCACAGCTTTGTGGCCCGTAACTGATAAACTACTTGATCTTTCTCTTAAAGAAATGCTTGCTAGTGACCTCTAAAAACAGCTGCTGCTCTAAGGGAACTGCAGCGCATGCGCAAAGCATAGAGACAATCACCGACTATTGAGAAAAAAAAGAACGCTTTACGTTTCCGGTTGTAACATTCAGAATAAACTTTTATGTCGCACGATAGGAACTTAAAATATTCACGTAGGCTTTATTTTAATTTGAAGTCCTACACTGACGACTTCCTATTTCTTATCTGCCATTATCAGCTTTGACGACGCAGTTGTGGAGAAGTTTAACTCACCATCTCTATGATCCTGGTTTTCTTCCCGGCTCGCTTCTTCTTGGCAACGATATACTGGGCTAACGCCACGCCACCGAACAGGGCACATACGCTGGCGCTGGCCGCGGCTCCGACCTTCACTACGGCCGTCTTGTCCATGACGGTCCGCTGCTTTGGTACCAACCAGCCCGCCGCCAGGAGAGTCCCGTCCTTCCCCTGTCAACAGACGCCTTCCTACTGGTGCAAACACGCAACCAAAGATCGTCAATGTTCAGTGAGACCAGTTACGCTGGACGACAAAAACGGAACACGGTCGAGTCGTTTGAAACGACCTCAGTTTGTACTTAATCATTCGTTTGGACGTTGCGTAGCAACATCACCACAGTAACAACGTTGTGTTCAAAGTAAAAAAAAAAGAACATTTCGCAACGTGTTATTAATGTTAGCATACACCTCTTCAAAAGCTAAAATGTATTCGAGTTATCTTCTTCTCTAGTAGATCTCTACAGGACACCCCATTCGAAGCAGATATCAGAGGCCTCATTTGCCACTTTTCCCTTTTCAGAAGAACTCGGATAACTGAGCTGCACTAATGCTGAAAGCATTCGATATGATATCAGAATCACCACTTTAAAAAACGTATAAAAAAACAAGCATGTGTTTTAATTAATTGCGTGACATTTGAAATAATAGATAGCGCTAAATCGATTTCAGTAATAATTTATCATTGTTGATCGTTTACACTAAAAAATCCATCTGATAACATAAAATGTAGGTGTTCTATGTAAATTACAGCTAAGGTTTTACCGTATCAACTTTAATATAAACGTATATTTAATACCACCAGAGAAGAGCTGTGTCCACTGTTTCTGGACAAATATAATCATATTCTTTTTAGATGCACGATGGAATAACTATGAATGAAAAAAAATATAAAGGAATGGAAATGAATGACTGTTATGAGAGGGAAACGGGAAGCATGTTTGCTGATTCAAATAAGCTTGGTGATAATGTTCTTTTATAAATGAATATTTATGAATGATCTACCTTGCCAAGTAACAGAAACAATGCATATGATGATGAGTTTGTCAAAATGATGCCAACAATATCAAAAACTGTAAAAACATAGATGCAAGTGGCAAATTAAATCTGATGTTTGGAATAATAACATATAAGAAATTTACTCACTGTCTGCTTCCCCTCAAAAAAACATTTATCTTTTTCAGCTTTGACATTTTTACAGTCAGGTAATTGTACTTCAATAACATCTGTGTTTTATGCTGTCTTTTATCTGCTGAGAGCATCAGGTTTGTTCAGTAGGCACTTTGGATGACTAAATCTGGGTGCATTGACCAGCCTCAACATTAAAACCATATGCTAGAATACTCAAAGTGAGGCTTTCAACATCAATATAGCACAGATATCATCGATACAAACATAAGGACTCGTTGGATTTTAAGAAAAAAACTCTTATCTTTCCCCTAAGCCTTTTGCAAAATGGGAATTGCTAGATTTATTTTTATTTTTTTGCATTGCATCATTAAGTTACACGGTGTGATGAATAAAAACATTTAAATACAATACAAAATAAAGTCAAAAGGCATTAGAATAGAAGAAAATCACATTTATTAACCAAGCTCATGCTGCAAGTGCAATTGAGCAAATTACCGTAAACATCACAAAATCACAGAGTTTTGAACTTTTCCGTGTGATAGGGAATACCCAGCAGGAATATATGAAGCTCTTAGCAGAGACAATACTGTGTGCATGCATGTGACAAAGGAAATGTATAATAAGTCATATGGCTGACTTGCAGTGTTGGAATGCATTACATGTAAGTTATTAATAGGAAAAAAAGGCCCTGTTGTGCTACAGGTCAGATGAATGAGTAAATACTTCCATATAATAAAGTCAAATGACAGCCAGTTCAGTCCAACAGGTTTGAATGGATTCTGCTGTGCATTTTGTTGTTTGTTTGAGTAAGAGGCCTGATAGTGTTTGGGTTGGCCCACTATCATCTGGGAGATAAATAATATGAACTACATTGTTCTCATTCCTACATAGCCACACCAACGGGTCCAGAGAAATGACTATATTCCACAAAAAGGTTTTAAGGGGGAAAGAAGAAATTTTTGCAAAGCTTTGTTATTCTTTTTTTCATAACTCATTGGGATACAATGAGCTACATAATGTGACAAGCTTCCACCAAAGTGCAGTCTTCTTCATCACTGTTAGCATCCTAATCTAAGAGCACGGGCCCATAGTAACTACTCCACAGGCCGTATGCCTTTGGCCTCCTCCATCTTTCTCAGCGTCTCATCCCACTGAGTGAACTGCTTGGACAAAAGGAACATCTGCAAATCAAAGGTCAGATGTCAGTGGGTGGAGACTCAAGCAACCAACTATTTGTTTTTTTCATTTTCATATATGTCGTTAATTCCTATCACAAGAGGTTAAAAGTGAGACATTCAAAGTCATGAAAAAAAGAACTGTAGGTAGAGAAGTAAACTTTACCATTTTGTTGTATTCCTCAAATAGCTTCTTCACTTCGAGTGACTGAGCCTCAGTTTGATCCTAAGATAAAAAGCATATAAATAATTTAAGCCTATAACAACATAAAGACTAAAAAAAATCAGTAAAAATGAGGAGACTCAATGAACGTGCTACCTGCTCTTTGATGTGAATCTGTGACAGACGCTGCAGCTTGGTAGCGTGTTCAGGTACATCTGTGAAGAAGGAAATAAGGCTGTAAGAAAAGGTCTGGTGGGGTAAATAAACAGTGCAGGGACATATTAGTTCCTCTATTTGGTCTCTGGGAGTTAAGAACAAGGATTGCATTGAAGATTGAACTGTATTGGATTTGAATGTTTCCCGAAGAATCGAACCTCTGATATAGGTGCTGTCCAACAGTGGCTGCATGCTGTTGACCTGCTCAAGCAAAGCAGCTTGAGAGAGCAAGAAGTCTTCCTCTGTGCAAAAAAAAATAAACAGTGCACTTAGAAACACATTTAAATGTCATAGGTATAGTACTGTTCTCACATAACCTCTGGTGACATGTATAGATGTGCTATTTATTATAAGATTTGCTTCACTTTGATTGACTTAATTCTTCTGAACCTTACCAGCAAGGATGAACTCCAGTTTCATAGCATCTGGCACAGTAATGTGGTCAGTGAACTGGGGATCCAAGTACTTCATCAAGTCCTCAACTGCGCCACACATAATAAAATTTAAGAAATGTTTACATCAAACAATATGCACATATACACAGCTACAACTTTAATTGTAATTCATGTATGTTTCCCTACAAAGTCATATTACTCTTTGTTTATCAAATTGAGCCACAGTATCAATGTTTTTATTTTGTTTTACCCAAAAACTTATATATTTAAGAGTTACTCACTTTTCTTGTGCAGTATCTTCACTCTCTCTCTCTTATTGGCTGTATTTGTCAGACCTGCTTGAATTCTGGCCAGAGACTCTGCACACTAAATAAAAAGGTCAGATTATTAAATGAATTTTGATTAGCAAATAAAAAGAGAAGTCTATTTAGAGATCATTACTTTCAAAGCAGACATATTAATTAAAAGGTTCCAATATTTTTAATTGAAATAACTAGCTATCAAGTTTACCCACAGAAAAAGGAACAGGATGTACAAAATTACAACATTAGGTTAATTTCTTTTAATTTCTGACTGAATTACATCCCAAGAGGATATGGAAAGCAACTATTGGAATACTTATAGATGAATTAGCTTTTTTTATATCCCTATTATACTTAGGAGAACTGATTTATTACCTAAAAGGGAACGTGCTCTTTCTGAATTGAAAAAATGTTCCCAGAAGTTATCTGACATTAGCAAATCAGCACAAACAGAGCATTGTTAAACTTAAACTATATAAGAAAAATACCACCTACTAAAAAGATTATCCAACACATCAATGCTTCTTTGTGAATTTAAACCATGTTTTTCTCATCACATGATCTGAGAAGACACCCCTTCCAGCGACTAACATTTCTGTAATCTCAGAGCCCAACACTGCAGTTAGATTTCCAAACTATTCTAATGGGAGGGACTGTTATTTATTTCAGTAACATATATGTTAGTTTAATTGATTTGATAGGGTCTTGTTCATACACAAACGTGTGCAAATGTACTCATGAATTGCCAGATAAACAAATATTGCTTTGAAATGCTAAGTATAAACCACACAATAACTGCTAAGCGGACTGGAAGTTGCATTTACTCAAATTCAAGCGAATATCCGTCATGGATCTGGTCTGACAGAATCGTAACCGTGTACAAAATACAAGAAGGGCGTTAAGAAGTAGCTAACCATAACCAATTTACTGTGCTAGGGTAAAAGCTAGCTACCTAGTCATTTAATTTATAAACATCCACTTATGTACAGACACGAAGGACGGACCTTAACAGGTTTTCCACTTTTGTTTCTTCTCTCGCCGTATATTTGGCTCTCCAGCGCCCGAAGACGCATTTCAAGGCTGTCCGTCTCCAATTTATTTTCCATTCTTGAAGCTAACGATGCACAACACAAACGCTCAACAGATTTTACGTTTTTCGTCGCTTATTGATGACGTCACATGTTGACCCCAGTACCCGAACTGTCAATAGTGACAAAAATAGCACATTTTCATACTTTAAAACACATGAGTTGGTGTATCAACCTTCTAATTTAAGTGACGATGCCGCCGTTTTATTTATTTTTGATCAGAATGTATTTACTTGTATGATCATTGGTGCTTTTGTCGCCAGAGGTCGCTGAATCGCGTTGAATATCAGCTGTTTTCCGGTGTACAGTGACAGCACGGGGAATGACAACACTCGAACAGAAAGGCCCAATCTTCCATTCAGGCTGAGAACAAGACATCGACGAAAAGTAGGCCATTCGTCCATAACGCTGCATCTTTTCAGTCCCACAAAATATCTGTTGACAATATGAGCAATAACTTACCAGCCAGCAAAAGTTCTCCCGAAACCACTACGTTTCCATTTGCTCAGTTAGCTCACCTAGCTTCCGTGCTAACGACAGTTTTGCACTTCACAGTTGCGTAGTTTGACAGGCATGGAGTTTGTTTGGAAGTTCAGCGGGAAAGCTGCTATCAATGTGATTCAGGACTCATTCCACTGACAGCTTAATTAAGAGTATCTGTCTTACCTACAGTTTTCTAACTTGAATGAAGATATTGCTAGCTAATGCTGCACGCTCACTTAACTGAAGCATTTGAGGAATTGGAATAGAGAAAGTTTCAATATAACGTGACTGACTGACTGCTCTGCTCTGTTTTTGACAGCTGGGAGCTGTTTGCCTTTGGACCTAGGTGTCTTTTTTTCAGGAAATTTATTCTTTATGTGCCGTTGGGAGCAGCAGCAACATGGCAGATGACAAGGACATATTGAGAGACGTGTGGTTTGGCCGGATACCCACCTGCTTCACACTGAACCTGGATGAGGGCACTGAAAGGGAGGCAGAGCCCTACTATGTGAGTAGAACCGTTCATTTCTCACATCACGTGGGTGAGAACCAGGAGCCAGAATTAACTTTTGGCTTTACCATACCCTCTCGTGCAACTTGGAACTTGCAGAGCCCAGCTACTGATACCTTTAATGGTTTAATGATAACCTCAGACAAACCAGTTGGCACAATGTCTGTACAGAAAAACTGTATCATGTTTAGTTATGATGGAGGTGTTGGTGATAGATGGGTTCCAGTGCATTCTTGCTTATGTCGTAGCCTTGCCACATTCCTGAGATTCACTATCCACATTATTATTGTTGCACATGAGGATCGTAAGTACTCATCTTCTGGGTCTGGCTTTGTGTCTTCAGTGCTGATTACATTTTTGCCACAGCTTTCTTTACCACAGTGAATATAAGAATGCATTATTCTGATGATCACACACTAGAAGGTTTCATTTGTAGCTTGTTTTTCTCATTTATGTTTATGGAGTGTTTCACAAGCCTGCTGAATGCTATATTTACATATTCTATTCAAATATCTGCATAGCTATGTATATAAAAGAAGTTCCAAATGGACACTGTGGAAGTATCATTACAGATTGGAGCGGTTTAACTATTTGTTTTTTCTTCTGTCCCTTTGACTTTGTCAGCTGCTGTTGCCCAGGGTAAGCTACCTGCCTCTGGTTACAGACAAAGTAAAAAAGCACTTCCTTAAAGTGATGAGGACAGATGACGTGGAGGAGATGTGGTTCGAGTATGAAGGAACACCCCTGAAATGGTGAGAGCCATGGCTAGAGAACCAGGTTGTGCCTGTGTGGCCCAAAAACATATTAAAGCAGCCATTATTTTTCTTTTTCCTTTTTAATGGTTACTAAAATATTCTCACGTCCAAATACTGGTGTCAGTATAGACAAGTAATCTGTTGTGTGTAGAAGGGGCTAATGCGAGGGTCATTGTTGAGATGAGTTAATCTTACTTCCTCAAACTGTAATAGTTTTACAATCGGCCTTTTTGAAAATTGTGTCATCAGCGTGTTTTCACCTGGGATAACTCATATTCTCCCAAACACTTACTCTAAGATATGTGAATTTAACAACTAGACGAGGTGGCCCATTTTTTTATTTTTTCTCCAAGCAGCAAGAAAAGAATGAAAAGCAACTTGCAGCCACAGGGTGTCGCCATTGCAACACAATGTTTCTGAAAACCAAATACAACAACATCAGAGATAAAAAGATTAAAAAAACTCACAGAACTCTGTTAGTAAGACATCTTTTAAGAACTGGTAAAAATGATTAACCGCCACAATACGTAGGATCAGTTACAGTGAGGAAGTTTTTTATTTATTTATTTTTTTAAAGGAAATGTTATGTTTAGTGACAATAAAACAGTTGAGTAATGAGAGTTAAACTAACTTAACTACTCTTTACTATGATTGTCTATCAACATGATCTTCCATTTCTGTTTCCATGGATTCTAGGCACTACCCTATTGGAGTTCTGTTCGACCTCCATGCCTCTAACACTGTCTTACCGTGGAGCATTACTGTGCACTTTAAGGTGAGAGTGTGAATGCACGTACATGTTTACATAGTATTTTCCCTCACTGCAGCTTTATTGAGATATTAGTCCTTTATGTCTAGTTTAGACATTGAACATTTACTAACTTGGTTCGGATTATTAGACAGTGCTCTGAGAGCTCTGTTAAACACATTGTTAAATACTTGTAAGCACTTAATGATACAAAATTAGACATTTAAGTAGTGAAGAAAAAAGATTTGATGGGGGGCATTTATGATATATATTATAAGTGTAATGAAAACTCTTGGAGACATTGATTTGACTCTACATTCACTTGAGTATCCCACAGGAGTAATCAAGGTTGAAATAATTTGCGTGTTGGTGCCAGAATTTTCCAGATCATGATCTACTCCACTGCTCGTCCAACTCTGTGATAGAGGCCCACTTCATGTCCAGCATCAAGGAGGCAGATGCTCTAAAGCACAAAAGTCAAGTTGTCAACGACATGCAGAAGAAAGACCACAAGCAGCTTTGGATGGGCCTGCAGAACGGTGAGAGACGGAGCAAACAGAGAAATCTTACTGTCACACATTCACTCGATAGCACTCACATGGACACATGCTGTGTCCCTGCAACACGTCCTCCCACACACACACTGTGAGCACCTGTCCATGAATTATCGTCAGAAATGCACACGTACAAGATTGATTCATTGTTGCACATGTTTATGTGCATTCTTTATGCAAGTAAACCTAAAAAAATGCTCTCCGCCTTTCAGTGCGTCACCTGTTTACAGTCTGTCACTGCAATTTTTATATATGGTCAAACAAACTGGCAGCATGATGAATATATTCATCTGAATAGTTTGAAAGTTATAGCTCCTCTGGCTGCAAACATAAGAAGTACTTTATGCAAACAAGTGATGGAAAGTATGAAGGTGGTTTGGTAAATGCGTGCGGGCTGCGTTTTTGTTGTAACTGTCAAAACTTTACATGTGATAATGAGACCCGAGGGCTTTACACCACTAAGCTTCAGCTGCTCATGGTTCTCTCACTTTCCCCCCGAAACTAATAGAGTGCAAGAGGGAAAAATGTCAATTCTTAACGTAAAGAAAAAATGTGAAAAAGTTATTTTAAGTGATTATGAATTAGCAGAAAGTGTTCTAAAGTTGTTTTTATTTATTTCAGTGTGTTTTTGATGTCCCGTTTTTTTCTTTAAATCAACTAAACAGAGAGAAAAGCAAGACTTTTGAAAGTAATCTATAAAGGCGGACTTGGCCTTTAACATGAAAGCGAGAGATGAAACTAAAAGTTTCATATTCAAAGGAGACCAGAAACAGAGAGCGCTCAAACTTTCATCCATAAAAAACAAAACAGAAGGCGTACATAATCAGTTGGAAACCAGCACATGCTGGATGGCATCTTATGTTTCTTAATGGTGAAAGAAGCAGTAACCTTTTAATTCACATAAATGTGTGAAGACTTCTGTTTCTTCAATTCACCTCCAGGCGACAGATACAAATATTTTTTCTCATCAGTTAAAGGAAGTTAATGTTAGTCCCTCCTTTGTTTGCAGAAAAATGACATTGTACATGTGTTTTGTCCGTTCACTGTTTTGTTACTCTTCTATCCCAGAAGTGTTGCCGTTGTAGAAGGGAATTTTATAGCTTCTGTGGAAAATATTTCCCACATTTTCATGTTTGTTGATCGTTGCACGTGTGCGTTGTTGTATGTTGCTTCAGATAAGTTCGACCAATTCTGGGCCATGAACAGGAAGCTGATGGAGTATCCCACTGAGGAGGGAGGCTTTAGGTACATCCCATTCAGAATATACCAGGTAATACACACACATACACACCAGCAAAAGCCTTTCCACTTTCTTCAGTAGCTTTTAAACTTCCATTTAGTTTGTGCATCTTGTCATGCTGCAATTTTCCCAATTATTCCTCTAGATGGAGCCATAAAGCTTTGTAAAAAAGAAAAACAGAAAAAAAAGAAACAGGGGTATTGCTTCAGCAGGAAAAACACTTTCAGTCAAATAATGACTTGTTTTGACTCAGAAGCTAGTCTATTGGACATTGACAATCCACATGTTAAAAACTGATGAAAGAGAGGATCTTTCCCTTTGATTTATTAAAACTAAAGTATTCATTCTTAAAAACCTTAAGACCCCTCACATCAGTGACATAAAGTATTTAACCTGACAGCTCTTTATAGAGGTGCACTGAAGGTAGTGACCCTTGCTTCTAAAGAAAAGGACACTCAGCAGTGCCTTCATGGTGGCCAAAATTGCCACCTTTAAACAACATGAGTTAGTATATTTAGCGTAGGTGTTTTTATTCCATCTTTCAGGAGCTAATCCATCCCTCTCATGTAAAAAGCACCATTCATTACTGCTACTTAATAACCGTATTACACATGCTTGTAGTGTATGTGTTCCAACAAGCATTTGAGACCTCTCTTGCACTAATATGGTTTTTATGGGTATTTTAGGAAGAATTAAACCGTTAGGAGAATTTGATCCTCCACCAAGGATGCATGCAATTTCATATCACAAAGTATAGCCTGTGGGCGATACTCATGGTTGATCCTGGAATAAGGAGACACAGCAGACAAGCAGCTTCAAGTTTGACTTTTTTTTTTTCCCAACAAGCCTCTGTGGCAAGATCCTGACTCAGGTAAAAAGTCCCTTTGGAGGACGAGAAAGAAAAAAGATGGATGATAGGATGAATAATTGGCTGATTCTCGCCTGGAAAACATTAGTTTCCCGCAAGCCAGACAGAGGGGGAAAAGCGCTTTGAGTCAAGATCGTGCAAATCGGGTTAGGGGGGGAAAGGGAGGAGAACAGATTTGTAGAACTTTCAGGGTATTGAAACACTTAAGAGAATGAAGTTAAAAATAAAGAAACATCAGAAGCAAAGGAGAAAAAAAACTCATTCTGTAGCAATAATTTCCTGTAATGTAGTCAGACAGTTGGTAAACACTAGGTTTTGTCCCAATGACCACTGAACAATATCATCAAGTCCAGAGCCGGAGAAAGTCTTTATTTCTTCAGTTTTAAATCGCATTTAGTTGAGTGTTTAGTATGAACAGTTTAGTAAAAAAAAAAAAAAGAAAAAGCGGTTGCTTTGACAGAGCCTGTCAAGACAAGTCAACCACGCAGAAAATAGGTCTGGGCTTAGATGACTGTTAAGTGTCATCTCATGGAACAGAGAGAGATGTGTCGATATTAAGAGAACAGGACTTCTCTGTAATAACGAGCTCAGCTGAAATTTCCTCCCATAGTGTGTTTTTCCACCATCGTATCTGCTGTGACTGCCGGTAGTTTCCCAGCGTGAAGATTTATTATTAAGTGTGATGGCTTTTAAAGAGACATGCAGGGCTGCACATATGGCCGCATTTACATTTTTCACAACTCAGGCGGAGGAGCTGCTGTCATCCACTGTCAACACTCTGTGTTTGGCGCAAAGTTCATTGCTTTTGTTTTGTTTTTTTTGCCTCTACATCTTTGGCACACACATAAACCATTTTGCACTTCAATGAGGGCATTCTTGTCTTTAGTAATAAAACATAAGCCTTTAAAGTGGCGCACCGAAACATGCAGTCCAGCCAGCAGGACCCGCCCTCGCAGACATGCACTTGTTGCTGCCTTAAAGCCATCTAACGGCTGGTGGCTGAGCCCAAGCCCATGCCGTTCCAGTTCTGTGTGGTTTTCATGGCTGAATTGAAAGTTTCCACGCTCATTTATGAGCCGCTATTGCAGCATCAAAGCTTTTTTTTCCCCCTTTCTTTACAGCTTTGCTGTGTGATTTCTAACTGCGCTGATGAAAATAAGCCGAATTCCTGAAAAGTTTGAATTGTTGTCGAGACATTGTGGTCTGAATGTTACAAACTGCTAAATGTTTACAAGTGAGGAAGGTCTGGGAAGTCTGAAGAAGAGAGTAAAATAGATTTGTTCATTATGGTCTTAAAAATGCTCACAATAGCAGCTTTCTGGAGTTCTTTTCTACTACTGTCCCCATCTTTTAGTCTTGTGAGGACGGTTGATTAACATTTTTACCCTTTGGAAAAGACCTAAATCCATATTTGTCACTAAATTGTACCCCAGTTTACACGGACTTCTAAACCAACAAGAAATGTTGGTTTAGAAGTCCGTGGAAGTCCGTGGAAATATGAGAATGTGGCAATTATGCTGCTTGTTTTGCTTTAGGAAATTTTGCTTTAGGAAAACATCTCCTTTTATTCGAGTCTGCCTGAACTTGGATTCGGCTTCCTTTGTCTCACAACATCGGTATTTAGTCCCAGATCTCAATATTGAACACTAGCTTAATTTCAAATTTCTCATTGGAATCATGGCAAAAAACAAAGAAATTTATAGGCAGGAATTAGCTTGTTTCATCCTCTAATCCAAGTTGTGTGTCACATTGAAGGACAAAAAAAAAGCAAAACAAAGGAACTTAAATCAAATAGTTCATTTGTAAAAGCTTTTACATGTGTTGAGTTAATTTCGCTGCTCGGGAAAATATGTGTGGGGGTATAGTTTTTTTTTTTTATTGTGTGTGTGTGTGTGTGTGTGTGTTTTGTTGTGGCAAAACCAAACGCAATGTGCAAACCCCAGCGTAGGCTGTCAGCTTGGAGAAAAGACAGTAGATAAAAGAGAGAGGAGGACACATATAAAAATCTATTTCCCACAAAGAAGTTGCTCGTGGAAGAAGCCCTGGCTGTGCTGCTGTGCTGCTTGCCTTTCCTCGCCCACTCTGAGCTAAACTTTTCAACAAAGCAGAGTCGGCGTTCTGCTGTGCCACTGCACTTTCAGATAGCACTTTTGGCGTTGGGGAAACGGAGGCACGCCGCGGGACTCTTCAGTCTCCGTTGTGGTGACAGATGCTGCACTGCCTTTGGTCAGCACAGACAGCACGAAAAGGGAGTCTTTTTTCCACAAATGAGCCCGATAAATGGAAAACGAGCAGAAGCTGAAGCTTATTCCCAGCTGCCACTTTTTGCGTTCCTTAGCTTAGAATGAATTTTTCAACAAAATAACTTAGAGGCAAACAAACTAAAATCTGAATTTGATTCAGTGTTTCTATAGAACGTTAACACAGCTAAATTCACCTTGAGACATTTTAAAGAAGGACTTGAAGAAAGTTTTTACTGTGACAAAAAGCAGGGGCAACAGAGAAAGATTCGGTTTCTATGGAGCTGCTGAAAACGTTACCGTTATTGTAGACTCAGACTAACTGTTCGATAGGTTTCAGCATGCGGAGCAGTTGTGTTTTCGCCTGTTTTCCATCCACCGCCGCAGATGGAAACTGCAGAGACGGGCGAAAAACACAATCACTGCACACCGGGTATCGTGACGGGACATGTTTTTCTGTGAGATGTTGTGAGATGTTGTGCAGCACAACTCGCTCTGCCTCGTCTCAGCCGCATCACAAATCCAGCTCACACTCTGTGGATCTCTCTGCCACTTTCACAGGAACGCCTTGAGGAACATTTCTGGAAATGGAACCTGTGACTGAGAGTCATTCCTTTAACAGATCGATGACGCCATTTCTGTTACACATGTAACATCATAAAATAACTTTTGGGGAACAAAGCAGCTACTGTCGTTACACTCATTTGTGTGCACGTTGTGCCATAATCTAACTTAAAGTAAAAAAAGAGGACTGAAAAGGTCTTCATAGGACATACAATTGTGTTGAGCTCTGACGGCCATGGGGCCGACATTGGAAAGCTGGAGCTGTGGGGACAATTTTAACAGTTAATGTTTCTTTATTTGTCTTTTTTAACGTTTCTTTTTCCCCTATTGTAAATACATAAGAAAGTAATTATGATTGACTTTAAGAGCCCATTGCCTGCCATAGAAAAAACACACTTCTATTCATCCTTCCAAACACACTTGCCCAGAGTCCTTTTAAAGCCAGATTGTGGTATTTAGTGTAAATAGTATGTGTTGTCTTTGATGCAGACAGGATTTATGACAGCACACAGTCCAAATCACAGAGGACTCGTTTCCATCTGGTCTGCTCTCCTAATAGAGCGGAGGGACCTCATGGGCAACACATTTTTATGTATTTCCATCTGCAGCCAAATATAAAAATGTCTTCACAAAATAGTTTTGTCGTATTTTTTTTTCATACTGTTAACCAAGATAATTAGCTTTTTTTATTTTTTTCAACAAAAAATCTTTTCATCTCAGTTTTCGTAAGCTGTTTGTAGCTACAAAGAATGATCTGGTAGTTATTTCTGGTAAAAAATCAAAGCGTACGTGTACCGGTTTGCGCAAGCTTCTGTTTTCATGTTTCCATTTTGATTCATTCGTCACCTAAATCGCTTCCAAGTGAGTACTTATGCGTGGGTTATTGTTTGTCAGTCTGCGCTCATTCAAGCATTTTCTTGTTTGGTTTTACAGTATTTACGCCCGCTCTAACAATGACGCCACAATGTGAGTTAGGTAGCCTGAGGGGGCCAACTGTCTCGTTACACGAAAAGTGAAAATTACTGTCCTTCTTTTACAGACAGCCTTCATTGTTCCTGGACAGGTACTGCTCTCTGTTCCCGTTTTCTTGACTCAGTGCTTACTCACTAACTCCATATCCAAGAGCTGGCAGTCCCCCTCCGGCCACCTTTGCTGTGGTACTCTGGAAGGTGCCAGCTTCGAAGAATGCGTGTTTATTGCCTCTCAGGTATCTTGTAATGGCTGAGTAATACAAAGAGGATGTTGTGACTGACTAGACAATTACAAATGTGGGAATGCTGGAGGCATTTTCGCATAATCACACCGAAGGGGTCAGGTGACTTGCTTGTTTTGCTGGTAGATTGCATTAATGCCGTCACAGAGACGGTTTCTAGCTGAAACATGTGTACGAGGGGAATGCCTTTCCAGTAAACATTTTCATACAGCCCTGAACCAGAACGGTTTTCAGAGTTTTCAATGCGGTGTTCATTAACACACAAACACAGATGTTCATGTACAGTAAATTATCATCAGCTCTACAGAATTGCTTATTAGTGACGCATAGCACATTAGACTGCAACCTGTAACCCTCAGTTTCGGTTCAGTTTCCCTTGGAGTATGTCTTCCACAAAGGTTCATTTCAATTTCTAGATGAATTATGACTGATTAAAGTGTTGATGGAAAAATTCATAACGGAAAAAAAAACAGAACATAACGATGAATAAGAAATAACAACAATGTTACAAGAGTGCCAATGACAATTCCTGGGGTTTGCATAAATATCAGGCTTTTTATGGGTCCAGTCTCAGTTGAACTGGTATTTCTTAGTCCGTTTTGAATGCTGTTGACTATTTCAACTGTAATTTTCCATCTACTTTCTTTCCATTTACTACAAAGTACTAAACTTCCAGAAGTGTACAAAGGCTCTACACTCCAACGGCCCAATACAGGCTCTCAGGGTGACGGAACCTGTGACTGAACTCTGTACGTGACTCTTCTCTTGCCTCTAAAAATGACTTGTTTGATATGCAATCACTTTGTGAGCTGAATGTGTAATCATATTTGTAATATTAATGATTTACATTTAGCTTTGCTTAGTAGGTGAATACTGTTCAACAAAAACAGTTATGGGTGAAGACGGCGTTCTGGCATATTGTGCAGAACTGTTGAAAATTAAAAGCGTAGGAGTCTCTTTAACCACGAATAGTTGTATTTACAAAGTTTTACATCTGTTTCACATTCACAAACTAAAGTTGTCCTTAATGTTGGAATATGCGTGGAATATCCATGTTTTGCAAGATGTGTTTTTGTGAATATTTCCAGAAATTGTCTTTGTCTGTACGATAAATGAGTCTGGACATTTAATTTAGGAATGGAGGCTCTCAGAGTTCAGTGGAAATGCTTTCTGTGACCCCTCTCAGTTTCTGGAAACGCAGATGGACTGACAGTGCTTTATTTCTGTCTATTGTTTTGCCTTCAATTAGGTGGATTGATTCCCCTCCGTCAATTAGGGGGACTTCTTGAGTTCCGCTGCTCTTTTCACTCAGCGAGAGCGAGCCCTATCTTTTCCCCGGAATCCTAATGACACCTCGCTCTTGTTGTGTTGCCATGTGCTGCGGTGCCAGCTAAGGTGTCACGCCACCTGAAAAGAAAGTGTCTCCATCCAAACAGTATCATGCTTCTCTCCTTTGGGATCAATGGCTTCTTCTTTGTACGCCGACCGGCTCAATAATTCATGGCTGGCTGTTTAAAAATGGATTAAAGTAGCTGTCACTTAGCACACTCTCTCTGCTCCGGCCCTTTTCAGTGATCCCGCACGAAAGGCCATGCTTCCTGTCAGTGACTCAGTCTTTCTATGTAACCTTAGCACTGGCTTCACACCTCCACAACCACCTTCCTCTTGCTACTTTACGGCCAGCTCTGCGGTGTGTAGTTACCAATTGGTTACTTGATCCCTACCCTTGGTGGTTTCCTTTTCACAGCTCCATGATTAGGCTCATAGTGTGTCAGATTCTCCGTTTGACACCTCAGGTTGGGTATCAGCCTCCCGCTCCACTCCTTTTCAGGGAGGACGGTTTCTTCTTTTGTCCTGTGATTCTCGGCACTTACAGCAAGGAGATTGAGAGCTCTAAAGCCTTTTAAAAATGTGTTTTTCCACTATTTCATTATCATTCAAGGATAATGATCCAGTAAACACTTCGACCACATATATTCAAGGTCCAGTGTGTAAGGCTGAGGCTAATTTACAGTAGGATACTTGGTTATGTGTTTAAGCCAAATGTTTTTAAAGGCTGGCCCTTTGCTGTCCTCTATAGGTAATTCATTTAGAGTATGAAGGGTATAAATTGAATTTTTGTCCGTTGAAGTTACAAATAATTCAAGCTAGGAAATAATAATTATTTGTATCTTAGATGGAGATTTATAGTTAAAGATACACTAGTTGATGAATAGATAGTAAATTAAAAAAATGGTTGGTGATTAAGCAAATGGGATACATACTGAACCACCTGTCACCACCTGTCACTGGCTCCTGGCTGGTGTCTTGCTCCCGGCACTCTTTTCTAGTACCTTGAGGACATGGGTCATTCGGTAACAACCACTAAATATTTAACTTGACCCTCAAGTGATAGTGAGACTGACATTTAAAAAGAGCATACGTGCTGACGAGCCCAAATCAGGCAGAGAAACTGGATTAAAAAAAAGCCTCTGGTCCATCCTGGGTCAGCATCTTCTGTCAGTTTGTTACAGGTTTGCTATATCCACAAGACCTTTATGAAGTTAGAGCTCAAGAGAGATCTGTGTCTCTATAGAAACAAATCACAACACAATTGACGAAGAAGAAAAACTTGACACAGATGATAAATTATCTGAAAAATGAGACCAATGTGTGGTATTTTGTGGGATGAAGCTTTCTTGAACTTGAGGCAGTTCATTAGAAATTTAAAAAGTATTCAGTGTTATTAAATTATAAAACGCAGAAATCATAAATCTTCTCACTTTATTAGGTGTTTGTCTGGTGTCTGCTGGTAATTTAACCCTCGATTCCCGCACATCTCCCTCATGGAATGTTCTGGCTTGGAGTCGGGAAAACAGCTGAATGGTCAGCTGGATATTTGCCGCATACGTCACATTTGTTTGGTCGGCACATCAGTTTAGATTCAGCTCCTTCCCAGTCTGTGTTGTGGTCAGTCATCAGAGAAGCCTAACTTCTTAGATCACTGACTTGATGAGTAACAAAGGCCGAGGTCACAGTCTCACAGTCTCATTACCATATCTGGTCCCTTACTGTAAAGAGATCTTATACAACGTGGGAAATAAGGAAGACCAATGAAATTGAGTTGAAAAGCAGATAATATCAATCCGTCTTGTATACTTGAAAGCAGCGGGATGACGTGGATGGGGAATCGCCATGTCTTTGATTTCCAGCTTTTTATTTTCAACGGAAAAGAAACGGCAATGATTTGTGGAGTGCCACAAGACCCTGTTGTCTCCTGAGGATATCGGGGAGTGCCGGATCTTTTGTATCTTACTTAGCTTACTTTCCTGCTTAGTATGTACCAAAGCAGCAGTTAATGACTTCCAGGCTGTTTCTGATCAGTAAAACATGTCAGCATCTGCAGAAAAATGGTGCTCATTGCTAAATATCACATTCTCCTCAGCTGGGCTCATCAAAGCGGTATGATATCCGCCTTTCATTCGCAGCATTTGCGTGCAAAGTGTTATGGCTACTTCCCACACTGTGAAAGCTAATTGAACTTCCTGGAAATAAGCTCTTTTATTATATATTTTTTAGGAAAAATGTTTTTTTTGTGTCTTTTTTTAAACTTTATCCTTTATGGTCTATACCTCGAGAAATAAATGTGAATAGGAAATAAAAAGTTATACATACACACATATTCATGTACGAACACTGCTCAAGTTCACAGTCCTTTGTCTTTTAACCATTTATGATGGGGATCTAACCACATGACTGAATCTCATTGGTAGGTAAGATAACAGTAAATTGATATTTTCGTTATAAAAGATTGTGCTAGGAACTGTGCTTGTTCTCTGATAAATGCCTTGAAACTTACAGGCCTTGATGGCTCTCTTCTTTGTAAAGTTCAGTGAGGATGAAACTGAAGTGGCCCAGCCCATTTAGATTAGGTTTAGATAGGTTACTTGACCCGGGATAAGAAGTCAGCCATTACAAACCCTGGGGTTAAAGTGGATGCTGACATTAAATCTGACAGTAATCCAGCCTTCAGTAAAACTCAGCTGGGTTACTGTAATACTGGGTTACTTAATACTTACTTTATGGGGGGGTAGCGGTGTGAGACAAAATGTTGTCGCACGTCTTTTAGCTGTCTGAGGCTTTGCCCCTTCTTAACTCTCTGAGCTGCTGCACCTGTATTTTATATTTGATTTAATCTTAGTTAGTTTTATTGCACTTGTATACATGTTTGTAGGTGGTTTGGATTTTTTTCTTTCTATGTTTTTATGCCCGTGAAAGCGTATTTGTCATTTTAATGTTTTTATGTATTCTGTACAGCACTTTGGTCTTTTTGGTATGTAAAGTGCTTGATTAATGAAGCTGGGTTGGATTGAAATGTTTTTTCTAATGGCAGTATGAATGTTGGAAAACAGATTTTTTGTATGTGTTGAAGCTGGTCCATTGGGTAAATGTCTGAGTTCATTTAGAAACACCTTGTGCATGGTAGCGTTTGGTGTGCAGCAGGTAATTACTGTACTTTTTTAATTTGCTGTGCTCTAATTGCAGACAATGAGTGACAGGCCATTCATCCAGAAACTGTTTCGCCCCATTTCATCTGAAGGCAGCACACACACGCTGGGCGACCTGCTGAAGGAGATGTACCCCGATGCGCTTACGAATGACGGTAAGACTATACACAGGCATACGCAAACCCCAATATCGTTTTCACTGTTTTTTAGTGTGAATGTTGCAGTCCTCATTAAATCCATCTCTCATTCGTCAATGAAAGTACTCATCATCAAACCAAAACTTTACAGACAGGTTTATAGTGTCTACTGTTGGGCAGTGATAACCATGACTGGGTTCCTCCTCCAATGTGAGTCACAGCTTTCTCCAAAAGTGAGAGGAACACACCTGAGTATTACTCAGGAGGCGCGTCCGAGATATTTTCCATCAGATAATAGAAGCAACGGGGAGGACAGGTCTGTGGAAAATAAAGGCATTTGCAATAAACAGTGAGGGAGAGGGCAGGGAATGAGGTGCTATGAAGACACATGGAGGGCAAAATGTAGATAAGATGTTAAGGTAGAAGTGCTCCAACTCAAAGGGTCAAAGGGAAGTGCAGTCTGAACTCATAGCCAAGAGTGTTTTGTTACTTTAAGAAGAAGTTATAGCGAACTTTCCTTTTTTTCTTTTCTTAAAATCAAACCAGAAGCAGTTGATCACATTGTCCTAACATGAAATATATTCAAAATTTCAAATAATAATGATGATAATGAGTAAAAGTATTTTGATTAAGTAATCATATTCTATAGAGGCTCGTGCAGCAGTAATAGTTGTACAAATTTATTTTCAAAATACATTTTTACATTTTTCTTAATCGTAACCTAAGCTGAAAGAGAAATTAAAAGCATGTTCTTAAACTCCCAGATCAGTGCATTGATATACAGCCGATGAACACCATGTTATAAAATTGTATTACAACTGTTTTGATTAATAATTTTAAATGGTTTTAAAAAGTTTTTAAAATCATTTTTAAGAAAAAAAACTGACAAAGTGGGGTTGAGCTTGATTGTAATTTTTTAGGCCACCAATAAAAGCAAATGGGGACATATGTGGTAGTATATGGAAATGTTGTCTTATTGATGTGCGCCACATTATTAAATCCCTCAAACGCAGAGATGAAGGCTGTATCTGTCCAATGCAAAACATTTTGCATTGCACATGTGTCTAACACGTTCCGTGGAGTAGTGGCAAACAGCTTAGCCGCACCTGTGGAAGGGGAGTGCTGATCATGAAAGAGGAGATGAGAGGAGGGATAGAGAGAGGGCACGCAGCAGTCTAAACAGACGGTGTCTGCCGAGGAGGAGAGGGGAAGTAGATAAGGAGACAATAGTGTGTCGGGACAGAGGACCTGCAGCAGACTCACCTGCAGAGAGGCGGCAGAAGCGTTAACACCCCCTCTCCTGTCTGCCTGCCTACCTGTCTGTAACGTTCACTCTCTGTCTCCATCCTCCTCCACGTTGTTTATCTCTCGCATTCACTTTCAGATCAAAAGCCCGAGAGGTTTTGTGTTGAATGTGAAGTCCTACGTCTTACACATCCCTTATACTGTGTAGGTGTGTTTGGGTAAGCAGTCATCCACCGCTTCCCCATGGAGATCACACTGATGTTCTGTCCCATTTTCATGCATCAAACTAACAGCACGCAAAATGTGAAACGTATCCAATCATAATAATGATAATCTAAGTTGAGACAACTAAAAGATTGGTAGTTTATTTATTTTTTATTTATTTTAAAAAGACAAGATAGCAAAAATGATCGACAACACGTCGTTTTCTTTATTGATTGATTTCAGTCTGGACTTCACACTTTGGGAACTTATTTTGGGACACCGCTGCAGGGAAAGTGAGACAAGCACAGTTTCGTCTATTTGCCCAGTTTTCTCGTGACTGCACCAGAATTCACCGGATCTAAAAACCAAAGTAGAAATGGATCCTTCTTATCTCTGGCGGAAATGCTCGAATAAAAGATTGTTCAGGAGACAATAGAAGCAGTTAGTTACCTCCTGCTGTGAAACTATTGTTAACAGCTCTGCATTAGGAGGAAATGCTGTTGAGAGTATATTCCTATGGTCTTTCAATCAAAGCATCTTTTGCCAACAAGGAAATATCACAATCCCTCCATTGTACTGTCTTTAGTCATGGTTTCCAGTCCTAAGTAAGCTGTTTGTTTTTGGCTTCAGACAGCAGGAGATCCAGCCAACAGTTTACATCTGTGAGTGAAAACAGCTGCCTTACGCCGAGATCTCAATGAAGGGTTCTTATTACCATGTTTTGGATGGTTTTACGCACACCGATCCATTCCTGCCCAGTTGTTATAAATTGATTTTATTGGCATTGAATTTATCGCCAGATTTGAAAGGTTTCTTTAAAGCTTTCGTGACTGCACGGTGGAGAAAGAAATACCCTCTTACTCCAGTTTCTTTTCTTCTTTCTCGCTCTCTGTAGTTTCCGTGATCTAAGACTCGTTCTTCCGCTTTGATCCCATATCTGGGTCTCAGGTGGAGTCTTCAACATCTTCCTTGTCTGCTGTGGACTTCTTTCATGTCTTTGACGTTAAATCTCTTCTTTCTTTTGTCCCCCGCCCAAGAGGAGTCTGCCAACATGTCTGCTTGATCAAGGTGAAAGTGGCCCTTTTGTCTCCTGTCATTTGTTTGGTTTCCACTTCTTCCTCGGTTGGTTGATGGTTTGGGTGATAGCCAGGGATTATGGTGGCGTGTTTGGATTAGAGACGTGTGTTGAGAGACCCTGTGGGGTGGCGGCGTTCAGAAGGTTTGCCGGCAGTATTGTTCAAGGGTTCAGAGAACGCATAACAAAAAGAAAATCAGCGGTTCTCCACGTCTCTTGTGATCTTTCAAACATCAAATAACAAAGACTTTCCAACAAGTTAACCACTCTGTTGTGTCTGAGAGAGGATTGGCATTGACCCCTTTGGGACCCAGAAACCAGTCCCGGCAAACAACTGGGGGCGCTTCAATTAAAACCCAAAAAAAAGAAGGGGGATTCCCAAACCTCTCTCAAGCTGTGGCCGAAAAAGTCTGTGTGGCTGAAACGCGGTGTTCCTGTAAGCACCGGTCAGCGCTGACATCTGCTGGTGCTGCCTCAAGTATTTTGTCTCTTTCCTAAACAGGTGTGTTACTCAGCATGTTTTTGATTCCGATTTGGAACCTTTGGGAAAATCGCAGCTCGAAAGGCTGATTCTTCCCACTCATAGCATGCATTCCACAGGCAGTTCTCGTAAGCAGCGTCTCTACTTTTAGGATTCAAGCCCATTCGTGAAAGAAAAAATAAATAAAACCCTCATTGATTATTGCCTGTGAATAATCAGAGGAAACCCCCACACCATAGACTCACCCACCGTCCCACCCTGAACCCCCGTCCCTCCCAGCTGAGTGAAAAATTCAGATGGTTCCCCTCTCGCGCTCCCCGTCTCGCTCACATCTGTGAGACAGCCTACTCACCAGTCACATGTTTCCTCGCGTAGCCGATACAGTTGGTGCTTGTACATGGCACGGCTCACTTCAGAGCCTGCAGGGGGGAAGGTGCAGGTTTCAGTGGCTGTTTTGATATAACAAGTAGAAGGTTATGCTTCATGTGCGGAGGCGTCCGTGATGTGCCCCAGACAGGGGAATTCAGAATAGCTCGAAAGACTCTCTCTATGACTGATGACTCTTCAATATTTACAAATCCCTCCTGAAAACTGGACGGCAAACGGTTGCAAAGCCTTCGTGGCTGTCGCTGGAACTGTGAAAGGTCCCAAAGTGAAGAGACTTGTATCAGCCTTAATTCAACCTGGGATATTGTCACTCGGCTCAACGGCAAGAGAACCATGCACGCACACCTTCAACTATGACGAGAGCATTAAATATGTCTAAATGTCATAATGAATTACAGAATGGTTTATCAAATCATGAAGTGACCTGATAAATATTACAGGTCATCAGCGACAAATGGAATTACCTTCCCAGTCAGTCCAAACGTGGACATTTCAATGACATTTTAATGTATCATAGTGCCTCACAATATCACGATTCACAGTACAACAGATTTTCTATAGTTGTGCTCATAAGTTCACATACCCCGGCAGAATTTTTGCTTTTTTGGCTTTTTTTCAGAGAATAGGAATGATAACAAAAAAAAACGTTTTTTTCACTCATGGTTACTAGTGTTTGGATGAAGCCATTTATTGATTCTATTCTATTTTCTATTCTTTTTTAATCAATAAAAAAAATCTACTTTTATTAAATCTACTTAAAATACCTCAAAATTACTTTTTCACTTGACCCAGTTCTTTCAGAGTTTATTAATTAAAGTGAATTTAACTGAAATCATAGCAATATCCAGAGAAAATCTTAAAAATCGGCTTTATTCAGTTCATGGTTGCATAAAATAACTGAGGGATTATGACAACAGTAAAACAAATAATCGTAGTACTTCTACTACTGCCACTAACAAATATAGTAATAATATTTATCATAGGGGTTATTTATTTGTCTTAGCAATCTTCTGTTACAATGACTGTTTTGGGAAATGGATGTGCTGTTATAAAAATGCTGACATTTTGCTATTAATGGTCAACCTCCAGTAATTTAACACAGACAAACATTGTAATAATAATTATATATTTGTTCAGTTTCAGTTCATCTGTGTTGTTTTGTTAGCTTTGGATGGTTGGTTGTGCAAAAAAAATAGTTATTTCAGAGCAAAATAAGTTATTTTATCTACCATTTATTCAGTAGTTAATTCACACTAGCAGTCGTTGTGACCAAATGCCAGTAACTCTCTCAGAAACTGTTTGGAAAGTGAAGTTTTGCGGTCTGCTCGGCTGCGCTCGGCTGACAGAACATTACGGCTTGGCCAGCACCAGAGTACCACTCAACCACAGGGCGTGTGGAAATGTCAGTAAACAAATTATTCAATCGTTTTGTATTTGCTGTTCTCCTTGAAGAACCAGTTATTATATTTTAGAGTATGGGTTTGAGGAAGCCAAAAAAAACAAACATCCTGCCTATACAGCAAACTTCAGTTTGTGCCTAAATGACACTTATGCTTATTAGGAAGATCTCTTGTTACCTTGTCAGATAGCATAACTATGGCTGGTCTTGATCCAAAAATGGACCAGCGGCTTTACAACAGGAAATCGATCTCACGTAAGCATTTATTTGATGCTTTTCGACCTAGTTCTCAACACAATAACAGTTGCTTAAGCAGTTAGACGTCATCTCATTGATATTTGGAACATGGCCTTACTCAAACTGTTAAAACACCACTTGACAACTCAGCTTTCCTACTTTTTTTCTCCTTTCAGATACATCTGTAGCTGCATTTGTAAGCAAACTTAAGTGCGCCAAAGTTTCTTTATTTGTCCCAAATGACCACTCTTTTTCCATATTAAAATAATTGCAATGAAAATCACTCTATAACTCTAAACTCTATCTTTTTTTTTATGTGCAGACAAGTTTACAGCTCATTATTTGGAGCACTTTTATTCTGTTAGTTACCGAGACGCTTTAAGGATTGTAAAGAATTCATTCTCAGCCTGCGTAGACCTTTCCCAGAGGTCTTTGTTGCTTTCCCTGCAAATTCAGACCTGCTGTTGAGCCGTTGATTTGAACCGGTGACAGGAAGTTTAAAGGTGTAAAATATAATTCAGCCAGCTGATAGAAGTTACTGAGGAAAAATAGAAAAATTAACCAGTGGTATTTAAGCATACTTGAACTTTTTTTTCTTTTCTTTTTTTTTACAGTTGCTTTTAGGTTGCTTCACTAATTGGTTGCATAAAGGCAAAGGTCATGGCTTTGGTTCAAACTGACACTTTCATAATATTAGGCACATGTAAGTATCATTTGGCAAAAGGCCGTGTGGGCAAACTCTCGTATTTTTAAATTAACTAGAAATATTCGTAGTTGTCACCTTTTTGCCCCCCTCCACCTTAGAGATAAAAATCTTACTGCTCTGTTATTACCTATTTAATGTTACCAGGAAAGACCAGATGACAACACTTTTTGTTGCATTGCTACTTTTGGCGTAAAAAAAAAGAAAAGTCTCAACTCTAGTAGTTCAACAAGCCTCAGCTTTTTCTGAAGAAGCACACATTAATCATCCGATGTATACCAGCAATCATATTTCTTCTTATCTTTTTTTCCCACGTCTTCCAGTTACAGTCTAAAATTTGCGTGGGTTGGAGGCTCAGAGTGCACATGCATGTCAGAATGGTTGGCGTGCAGGTGGGTAATTGTAATATGTTCATGAGCGTGTGGTGCGTGAGTGTTGGCGGGGGGGGGGGGGCGTGGTTCATCGTAAATTTCCCCCATTTCTCATAGCGATACTGTAATACACCTACTCCACCCACATCTGCCTGTCTATTGCCAGGCAAGGCATGCAGGTTGGTGATGGGGAAGAAACGCCTCCTGAAAACGGGGGCGTGTGTGTTTGTGTGAAGAAGAGAAAGTGTCTTCTCAGTACTGCTATCAGAAGCAGGATCACAGCTTTTACTTTTGTTCCTCTTCTGAGCTGATTTTGATGTAATCTGAACAAAGAAAGTAAGGTCAGAATCATAAAAAAAAGATAAACCCTTTTTCAAGCAATATATCAGTCTTAAAGAGTGAAATTTATCCTGGGTTGATTTTTTTGTTGTTGTTGCAGGTTTAAGTTTTTTTCCAGATTTTTCAAAATGGATTTGATCAATGAGATCAATTCTAGGCAGTTTATTTATTTATATGATTTTACTGGATTTATATTCATAGAATTAAAATGTTATAACATCTTACCTTTCTCATGAAGAGTAAATTCTAATTACTATTCTAACATTAAATACATTTTCCTTCGCTGTCATCTTCAAAAAATAAAAAACAATGGTAAATGGAACTATGTAGATCGGTGGTCTTCGGCACGTGGCCAGGGTCAACGTGGAATCGAACTACTGACCCTCTGACCAGGCAACTGCACCTGAGCTACAGTAAGCTAGTAAATCAGCCCAGCCCGAACTCTGTGCATGTATGCTCATACCTTCAAGTTGATCAGCCACAAAAAATAGGCTTCCAAAATCATATAAGCTCAGTATCTGAAATGAATTTATATCTGTGCACTTCATCAACAGAGGTAGCTCTCTATAGACTGTCATTTGCACAATGGAGAAAGACAAAGCGTGTTGGGCCGGACACGTTCCTGCTCACCTCTGACTTCCAGAAACTGACAGGAGCTGGGTGGAGCTGCCTCTCAGACCGTCAGTTAGCGCTCTGCCTCAACCGTCCTCTTGATATTACGTGGAACCTAAAAGTCATGCATCGGTGGGTGAATGAGGACACGCTGCGTATATATATATGTGTGCATGCATTTCTATAGGTTTGAGTGAGGTCAGGAGTGACAGACGGGAAAGGGCCCCGCACCGTCTGCCACTCTCACGCACAGCAAACCTCCAGCTACATGTGAGAGGTGCTACCCAGAAGCTGAAATGATACCCTGGAAATGGCAAAATGCTCTGCTAAGTGCTGAGTAATTACTTAAAATTAAAAGTAAGTTATTCCCGTGGGTAAGACGAACCAAAATCAAGGTGGAAGAGCCAAATGTTAAAAGATGACAATGTTTCTGATTAAAATGTAGAACCTTATAGCTCTCTGAGGAATGAATAAATGTGGGAATAAATAGTGTGTGTTTAGACGGTTTATATTTAAATGTGAACTTAACAATGGGGTAACATTCTTTAAACAGGTCGTCAGCTCCACGAGTGCCACATTTAAAAATAAAGGTTATTTAATTAATCAAACTAGAAAGAACTAGTTATCAGAAAAATAATTCTACTTATTCTGTGTAATAGAAAGCAAATAATTTAAATGAATTTAATGGATAGCATTCAAACCTCTGGACTAGATCGTGTCTAATATTGTTAATAATGTTTTAGACCAAATGTTAGAAATTTATCATTTTGAAAATAGAAGCAGTGCATTTTAGTACAATTTAAAATAATACATTTTTAAAAAGCATTTTCTTCTTTTAGCAACAACTTAATTTCATCTTGTACAAGTCTGTCTAGCCTTTTCTCACTAGTGCTTTTCTTGAATTTTTCACTCATTAAAGGAGGTTAGTTATTTTGTGCCTATTTTTTTATTTATTTTTTTTTTCAGTGAAAAGAACCAGAAGTAGCTGTGATGAGTGTCAGGCCTCATGAGGAAAGCTTCAAAACTGCTCGTTTCCCACAATGCAGCTTAGAGTCTTTAATTTGACTTCCTGCTGCAAATGTTTTTCTCACTTTACACCTGTTTTCCAATTGCGTGTACATCCACCGTTGTGCGCGTAGATATATCAGACTACGGCCCAGTTAAGGACTCTTAAAATGTCCCTCACTCGTCAGATTTGTTCCCTAAAAAATTGTGCAGTCTGAGAGGTGCGAGTGGTTCGGGGTGATCGTTGCTGGTGACAAATATTTTTCAGTCATGGCCTCTCGGTGCCGAGCGGTATCAGTCACAGGGGGCCAGCATATCCGGGGACGCGCACACACTCTCAAACCACACACCGTCAGACCGAGAGGTAAAAATTCAAATCCTGCCACCAGTAGACACGAAAAAAACAATCAACTGTCACTCGACTCCGCTTCATATCTGAACAGACACATTCATAGTCGCCCTCATACTTTCTCTCCTCCTCTTCTGTCTCATCCACCACAGCAGCGGTATTACTGACTTGTCTGATGTGGTCTCTCTCACCTCATGCAACCATTTCTCATCTCCCCTCAGGTCTCTTTGCTTTTTTCCTGTTTCCTTCACTTGATCTGTTCTCTGCACTTTGCTTTACTAGGCCATAGGCTGAAGCTCAAAATGTGGCTAGAAATAGGATTTCGCTCCACTATCCTGGGGACTACTTTTCGATAGCACTTTTCCAATCTTGAATATGTACTGGAGCTGGGAAAAAAAGTTCTCCATGGGATTCCTGCCAGTATTTGAGAAAATGGGTGCCAAAGGTGGCAGTTTACCC